AGTAAGTATCTACAGTCGGCATCGCTGCGCCATTTTGAGAAGGCGGCACGACATGAGAACCCTCTCATCGTAGCCGCTGGAAATTACATACCCGACCCAGTAGACCGAATGGTAAACCGTCGACGTCGCCCAAAGCACGTCATTACGGATCCTCCTGATCCATTAACGGTGCTTTTAGGCACCACAAGCACCGGTCACCGTCCTCGTCGAACCCGTCGCTTGCGACGAAGGGCTCGACGAGCGAACTAACCCATAGACACAGCCCACTGAGTTTCTCGCCGGATCTTCTCCGTGGGTCGCGTTTCCGATCCGGTGGTAGATTCAGCGAAGCACTGCTCTTGCTAGGGTCAATGTTAGCAACTCTCCGGTTGAGCCCCGCGAGCTCACCTACTAACGTTAGGGTGAAGCTGAAGTAGCCTCTCAAGGCTATCAGCATAGGTAGGGAAAAAAAAAAAAAAAAACCCTTACTGAATGTACGCGTACCGCCACAAATAGAGAAAGATGGAGAAGTCTCTCAAAAGCCGCAACCAAACATTAAGACATACGTAACCACGACCACTCCGCGAGGAGTAAACGACTGAAAAGAAGTATAATAAATGACTATTTTAAATTTTAAATATAAAATCAGTTTTACGTTTTAATCAGACGTTTATCATTTTCATTTTACTTTATCCGATCTGCTGAATAGTTTAAGGTTATCATTAAGCCTACTGAAAATAATAAAGGCGGAATTTAATTGTTAAATCGGTAAATTAGTTTTAATTAAGTTTATACATACGGTGCTATAAATTCACAATGCATTTTTTGTTAAAACTGAACTGAGTATGAGAAAATATATTTTTTAATAGTTATCAGTGAGATGTTTGCTTTTACTGATTTTACTGAAGTTTAAATTTTTAGTTTAAATGTTATCGTTTTTATTTCTTTAGTCTAGCAGAAATATATAAGAACTATATATAATAATATGCTGAATTTTCCATCATTTCTCCTGAAAAACACATAATTTGCATAAGTAACGTTATCACACCGTATGTACGATATGATGCTGTATGATTTCATACTTTTTTTTTCGTAACTCTAGTCAAATATACAATAAGTAGTTCGATTATCTCGTCTGCTTTACAAACCAATTACGTCTCTTTGTTTAGGAAGTTTTATGTCATTAAATGGTTTCTTGAATTTTTATTTGAAACTAGCTGACCCGGCAGACTTCGTATTGCCTCAATCGATAAATAAAAGACCTAAACTTTTGTATAAAATAAACTTAAAACAAACAAAAGGAATCCGTCCGACGGGGGACACATCAAAGGAAAAACAAAATTGTTATTTTTATTTAATTCCGGGCAATTTCATATTTATTTACCTTTTAAACTTTCTCTGGACTTCCACAAATAATTATTCAAGATCAAAATTAGCCAAATCGGTCCAGCCGTTCTCGAGTTTTAGCGAGACTAACGAACAGCAATTCATTTTTATATATATAAATAGATAGAAGATATCAATAACAACACTAAAGAGAAAATGTAGTTATTACATGAGAAAAAAAACAGTATTAGGAAGGGTATCAGTGGTACTGACCAGCTTCGAAGAATGAGCGAGGTGCAACAATGCCGGCAGAAGTTTACACCAGAAGTCGAGCAGCGCGTCGGCAGCGCCCAGTTGCTCCAGATAGAGCGTCCACAGCTGGCACAGACACAGCGCCTGACACAGCGCGCTCAGCCGGGGCCCGCCGCGAGACTCCGCACGGGACTCACGCGGCTCTACGCGAGACGACTCCGCGTACCACGATAGAATAGTCTGCGCCGGAAGGTTTTTTTTTTCATTATCAAAGGATTACTGGTGGCCCGGAAGCCTTTCCAGTTTCACCAGGACACTGGGCGAGCAAAGGTAGGATTGAAGGATTACTGGTGGCCCGGAGTCTTTCCAGTTTCACCAGGACAGGTGGACGAGCAAAGGCTCAGCCAGGAGAGGTGGGATTTGCTAACAGCTGCCCGAGCGCCTCCAAAGGAGACCTAACAACTCAAGAGCAGCTGCTTCGCCAATGAATTTACTACCTGCCTAGTAACTACTACTGATGCATGGGTTAGGTTGCACGTCGACCTCTTCGTCGAGTTCGACGAGTACAGTTACCGGGGTCCCTAAGCCTGCTCCTAGTGTTAGAGCTGAAGGCGTCAACGCGCCGAAAGGTACATTATGCATCTTAGTCTATAAAGTTTAAGATAAGAGAGGTAAGAGGGGAGTGAGCAAAGAAATGGTATATGATAGAGGAGTATGAAAACATGTTGCGCCCACGATTCACTTTTGCGATTCTATAGAATTTAACTGCCTCGTTATGGATTTTTTTATGGCATATGTGAGTAGACGAGTTCACAGCCCACCTGATGTTAGGTGGTTACCGGAGCCCATAGACATCTACAACGTAAATGCGCCACCCATCCTGAGAAATAAGTTCTAAAGTCTCAGTGTAGTTACAACAGCTGCCCCACCCTTCAAACCGAAACGCATTACTGCTTCACGGCCGAAATAGGCAGGGTGTTGGTGCAGACTCACAAGAAGTAAATAGGCAGGGTGGTGATACCTCACAAGAGGTCCTACCGCCAGTAATAGTTACCTGGATGTGGTCAGTGAGATGGCAGGTGGCGTCGCACGGTATGGTGACCTGCAGCGGCTGCGACCGACTGTTGCTTAGCGCGCCGGCGAGCAGCCACGACACCAGCCTCACCCGGGACACGCACTCGCACACGTCGCGGGAACTGAACGTGACAATTAGATTTGTCTGAATACAATTATTTACTAGGTACAATTTTAGGTTTAGAATTTTTAATTATTCCTACGCGCTGGGGTTCGGGATAAATAAAATTCTACCGAATTACCAGTTATCACTGTATTCAACACTTAGAACACTTAAACACTTCACAAACACTTTAAAACTCTCAATTCCCTTGTTCCGCTTCGCTTCAGGTGATCTGTTCGCTGTTTCACTTCGAGTAGTTCGGATGACTGCGTGCCATCTCTACAACACTTTTATAACCGATACCTCATCCCTGGAATTATCGAGAATATTCCACACATCTCTAGTAGTAGTTTCCGGTATCTGACAATAGATGGCGTTGTACTTCTCGAGCGTTCTAGGTGCTACTAGATCCTTCGATATTCGTTCGACTATTCGACGATAGATGCCGTTACTCTTACCGGCGTAACATTATTATAAAAATATTAGCTGACCCGGCTAACGTTGTTTTGCAATATACATTATTTCTAGAATTTTTTTTTTGAGTGGACCGCCCTAAACATTTATGGATAGGAAAAATAAATGTTGAACGATTCTCAGAGCTACGCGATAGGCACACAAAATTTCACGAGAATCGGTTGAGCCATTTCGGAGGAGTTTAGTAATAAACACCGTCACACGAGAATTTTATTTGTAATTATAAACATCACTTACTTCATAAACACAAATAATAACTCCTTAAAATGTATGATTATTTAGTATTTCTAGGGCTGTCATCAACTTTACTCAAATTCGTTGTAGATTTTATGATCCTTATGTATTTTTAAAACTCAAAATTTAATGCTACCTGCGGTCATTGGCATTTTTAGGAGCGTGAATAAAATATCATTTTTTAAACATTATTTAGGTAGGTAATAATTTCGATGAATTATAGCTAGCTACTCTTGAAAGCCTTGGTAAATGGCAGTTTGATTGCTAATCTAAATATAGATGTGTTTTCTAAATATAGTTAATGCAAAATTTAAAATTTGCTAAAATTTTATAATTTTTTTATCATTATCCCGTCACGCTGTTAAGTGCCATTTTGATTGTAATCTAATATATGTAACTAAACAAACGCTTGTTTTTTTTTCCTAGCTAAGCTGATAGCCTTGAGAGGCTATTTCAGCTTCACCCTAACGTGTAGGTGAGCTCACGCGGCTCAAACCGGGAATGCTGCTAACACTAGCCCATAGCAAGAGCAGTGCTTCGCAGAATCTACCACCGGATCGGAAACGCGACCCACTGAGAAGATCCGGCTAGAAACTCAGTGGGCTGTGTCTATGGGTTAATTTACCCTTCGTCGCAAGCGACGGGTTCGTCAAGGACGGTGACCGGTGCTTGTGGTACCTAAAAGCACCGTTAATGAATCGGGAGGATCCGTAATGACGTGTTTTGGGCGACGTCGACTGTTTACCATTTGGTCTACAGGATCGGGTATGAAAGGCTTGTGTTTTCCTCACTCTGTATCAGAATTTCCTAGATGTACATAACATATAAAAAGAAATATACTAGTATCGAAGCGGCTCGCTTACATGCACGGCAGTAAGCATGATGGCCTATCGAGGTTGTAATTGAGACAATAAGCAGTTATTGTGAATACGTAGAAAAAATAACCTGATTGCAAGCGTGTATAAAACACAGAAAACTTTTAGTTCAATGGTTATTTGGACATATTATAAAATCAGACTCCTGGTAAAAAAATGTTGTTGAAAAATTATCGCTTGCTCGCACCAATAGCAGGCGCAATCATTTCCGAGGAGCGTAACCCTTATTTCGATGCTATTGACATGTATGTCAATCAGTACAAATGTATCCTGTTTGATAGCATCGGACATTACCTTATACTCTCATAGCACGCAAATATATTTCAATTGAAACAGAAATATTTATCGTTGCACTCCAATAAGCTGTAAGCTTGCCAATTTCGTGGTCAGCGTGCTTAGTGCGAGTTTCTTAACGTTCTCGATAATGTAAAAGTTAAGCCAATTTTGTATGCAGTTAGAACAGCGCCCCTAGCGGCAAACGTTAAAAAACCCGCACTAAGCACACTTATATTATTATTGAGTCAAAACTATTTTATTATTATTTTTTGTAAAAATATTGTTTATGATTTAAAGATGAGACGCGAGTTTCCTGTTTTGTCAGTGAACTACATAGCTAGGAATGAGTGAGTGTGAGCACGCACCCCGGGGGGGCGGCGGAGAGCCAGGGCGTGAGGTGTCGCGGGGGGGGCGGCTGGCGGCGCGCGTGCTCCAACGCCAGCTCGGCGGCCGCGTACTGAGCGATGCCGCCCTTCACGATGCTGCCCAGCGTATCCTCGTTCAGGCAGATTACGTTCCGGTTCACGATCGACTTCGACACGGACCCCTGAGGAACACCACATTGACTGATAACAATCAGGTGGTTTACTGGTGGTAGGACCTCTTGTGAGTCCGCACGGGTAGGTACCACCACCCTGCCTATTTCGGCCGTGAAACAGTAATGTATTTCAATTTGAAGGGTGGGGCAGCCGTTGTAACTATACTTGAGACCTTAGAACTTATATCTCAAGGTGGGTGGCGCATTTACGTTGTAAATGTCTATGGGCTCCAGTAACTACTCAACACCAGGTGGGCTGTGAGCTCGTCTACCCATCTAAGCAATAAAAAAAAAGCAGCCCAGCCGAGAAGATCATTTGTGTGCTTAGTGCGAGTTTTTTTAAAAATTTAACTCAAAATTGTATGGAGTTGGAACAGCGCCCCTAGCGACAAACGTGGGGACGCTGTTAAAAAATTCCCTCAATTTTTTTTTATTGCCCTTCTAGGCAGACGAGCATACGGTCCATCGGTGGTGAGTTACCGTCGCCCATGGACTTCAGCAATGCCAGGGGCAGAGCCAAGCCGCTGCCTACCTATAAACACATCGAAGTTGATACTTTGTATAAAATAAAATTTAAAATGCATATATAAGCTTATGACGTCACCACCACTTCAGCGGATGCGCTTTTCTTACTTCCATTATATATTCGTGTCTTTAAAAATTCTGAACGACGTTTCATTTTAGAATTTTCAAATAATAAAACAATAGGACTGAATTGTTTTGTTTTAATATAACGTCATAAAAAGAAAAACTTAATAATGCTTGTACTAAAAGAAGTTCATCGTTGTATCAGAGTTTTTTGATTTATTGCTTAGATGCGTGTACGAGCTCACAGCCCACCTGGTGTTAAGTGGTCACTGGAGCTCATAGACATCTACAACTTAAATGCGCCACCCACCTTGAGATATAAGCTATAAGGTCTTAGTATAGTTACAACGGCTGCCCCGCCCTTTAAACCGAAACGCATTACTGCTTCACGGCAGAAATGGACGGTAGAAATAGAGTATTGACCTTGATCTTGTTGAGGAGGTGCGGGTCCTGCAGGAGCTCGATCATGTCGGGTAGGTGTGGCCGCATGCACTCCACCGCCCCCCCGCCGAGGTCGCGAGCCTCCCCGACACCCCCGGCCGCACCGCCGCAGTTCGCGCTCAACTGCGGGGGTAGCAACAGACTGCAGCCGTGACCTGACCAACGCAAGAAAGACTATACATTAATCATTAGGTTTTTTGAAGTCGTCGTGGCCTAAGGGATAAGACGTCCGGTGCATTCGTGTCGAGCGATCCCGCCGGCGCGCACCAATTATTTCTAATGAAATACTTACTTACAATACTTACTAAAACCAAAATAATGACCAACAACAGATGGAAAAATCCTATAAAAATCAATGGAGAGCCACTAGAATATGTAGAGAAATACATATACTTGGGAAAACTGCTAAGTTTTGCCAAAAACAGCGACATACTAGAAATGGAAAGAAGGGTTCAATCGACATGGAATAAATTTTGGAACCTAAAGGAAATTTTCAAAAGTATTATGCCCACAGACATCAAAACAAAAGTTATGAACTCAAGTCTCTTACCATGCCTGACGTATGGGTGCCAGACGTGGAAGTTCTCCTCTAAAGCCACAAATAAAATCAGGACCTGTCAAAGGGGGATGGAGAGGAGTATGCTCAAAATAAGGAAGATGGATAAGGTAAGGCATACTAAGATAAGAAGAACCACTAACGCGACCGACGCCCTGACTTATGCACTAAAACTAAAATGGAAATGGGCTGGCCATGTCGCGAGATATACAGACCAGAGATGGACTGCGAAAGTTACATCTTGGAGCGGCCCAACGGGCAAGAGAAGTCGAGGGAGACCACTAACCAGATGGGAAGACGATCTTAGACGAACAGCTGGCGCAAACTGGATAGACGTAGCACAGGATAGAGACGCTTGGGCATCTTTGGAGGAGGCCTTTACCCGATCCGGGGTTCTTGCTAACTAAATTTTACTGATTTATTACAAAACTCTTTTACATCCTAAATACTTATACATACATTTATATTTATTATATATATATATATTTTTTAAAACTTTGTAAAGCAAGAAATAAAGGGCTTATTATTATTATTATTATTATTATACTTACTCACCAAACGTTCACAATTGACTTCCATGGTGAAGGAATAACATCGTGTAATAAAAATCAAAGCCGCTAAATTGTAATTTGTGTAATTACTGGTGGTAAAACCTCTTGTGAGTCCGTGCGGGTAGGAACCCACCACTCTCCCAATTTCCGCCGTTTCAGTTTGAAGGGTGGGGCAGCCGTTGTATACCGATGGAGGCGCGTAGACGCCATCACACTTACCAACCAGCCTTCTTGAAGAGCGGTGCCTCCGTCCTAAGAACTGTCATTCGTTTTCGTTTGCTAACGTCAATAGAAGATTTCTAAATTGTTCTAAGACAACAAACGTGATTGGTGTACTCTATATTTCTCTTAGTTTGATCGCCCTATTCGCCCCTACGATATCTGACGGTGTTAATAATGTGGTTTCTCCGACATATTAATTATTCAGTGCGTTTTAATGTTAAATCAATAAAAGCGGTAGGCAGCGGCTTGGCTCTGCCCCTGAAATTGCTGAAGTCCTTGGACGACGGTAACCACTCACTATCAGGTGGGCCATATGCACGTCTGCCTAGAAAGGGCAATAAAAAAAAACAAAAAAATGTAGACTAACTGTGGACCAAATGAACGAATGTATCCTCATTTGCTTGTCACTTTATGAACGATGTTTTTATTTTTATTGCTTAGTTGAGTGGTCGAGCTCACAGAACACAGGCACCGAGTGCCCAGCCCTGGTCTTAAGTGGTTACTCGAGCCCATAGACATCTACAACGTAAACGCGCCACCCACCTTGAGGCATAAGTTCTAAGGTCTCAGTATAGTTAGATTTACCTTGTAGAACAAATTGTATGAGTATGAAGAGGTTGTCGTCAGGCACCGTGGTCTTGGTCCGCAGTGCCTGCACCAGCTCGTAGACCAGCACACGGCAGACCAGCAGGCGGTCCCGGTCGCGGCTGAACACCCGCATGCAGACCATGCTCAGCTCGGATATCACGGACAGCTTCATCACGAAATTCTGAATGCCGTAGCTTAGGATCTTCGAGATCGGCTCTAGTATACTCTGCATTCAACATTACTTCAGATAAACTACCCATCCGCTGTTTTTAACCAATATACTCGTATATGACTCAATGATGTATGATTGTTGAACATACATACTCGTACATTCATCACATTTTCGTTCAAAACTAAAACTTTTTTTCATTAAAATGTTAAAATTAGTTGGTACAGAACGTCTCAGTATAGTTACAACGGCAGCTCCACCCTTCAAGCCGAAACGCATTATTGCTTCACGACAGAAATAGGCAGGGTGGTGGTATCTACACGTGCGGACTCACAAGAGGTCCTACCACCAGTAAAAAGGTCCTACCATCATCATCATCATCATCATCATCAGCCTTTATCTGCCCACTGCTGGACATAGGCCTTCCACAGAATGCGGTCTTCCGCCTTCCGCATCCAACGACTTCCCACCGTGCGCACTAAGTCGTCGGTCCACCTGGTTGGAGGACGCCCCGCGCTCCTGGCACCCATCCGTGGCCTCCTACCACCAGTAAAGAGTTTTGGGAGGCTTAAAGAAGGTTGCGTGTTCAAATCACGTCGGGGTCACCAGTTTGGGAGGCTTAAACGACAAAGGGAAGATCTTCCACCGAGCGGGTGATATTTGCTCGGTAGACCGACGTTCCGAATGTTGTTGTTCGGAACTTGTATATATGCAAGCTTATCTTGAAAATGTCGTAAGCGAGATTCAGGCATCTGTCAAATATCTTGCGTTTTATGATGGCTACCCGCCACAGAGTGAATGCAGTAACCTTGTGTTGGTGAGCGTTAGGCACCCTGAGCGCGGCCGTGGCGGCCCGCAGCAGAGGCAGTACATCATCCAGCTGTGGCAGCACTAGCAGCACGCCACGCAGCAACACCTCCATCTGCTGCAGCAATGCGGCGCACGCGGCCGCCGGGCCCAGCGCCTCGGGGGCCAGGCACTCCAGATACATCGCCATGTTGCCCGCCAGCGTACACATTTGCTGCAACACGTCGTCATGGACTTATGAAGTCGGCGTGGCCTTATTAAGTCGTCGTGGCCTAATGGATAAGACGTCCGGTGCATTCGTATCTAGCGATGCACCGGTGTTCGGATCCCGCAGGCCAATTTTTCTAATGAAATACATACTTAACAAAAGTATCACGATCGACTTACACGGTGAAGGAGTAACATGGTGTAATAAAAATCAAACTCGCAAAATTACAATTTGCGGACCTCTTGAGAGTCCGCACAGCTAGGTAGCACTCTTCTGCCGTGAAGCAGTAATGCGTTTCGGTTTGAAGGGTAGGGCATACGAAGAACTTAGAACTTACATGGCGCATTTACGTTGTAAATGTCTATGGGCTCCAGTAACCACTTAACACCAGGTGGGCTATGAGCTCGTCCACCCATCTAAGCAAGAAAAAAAAGTCTTCTTTTAATATGAGAGACCTCTTGAGAATTTTTTGGGCAATACACATGATGGGGTCCCACGTCCTTCCACCGCAGTACTTTTGGAAGAGATTTAGTTCTTCAAGGCCGCTGAAGCCTTATTTAGTTCCGGCTAATTCCGCATCCAGCCAGGGTTGACTGTTTTACGGTGTAAAGGTCGAAATCCAGCTCAATCCTCCTCTTTTCTAATCCGAGCTTGGGACCGGCTTTAGCAGAGTTCTTTCATCATTAATGCATTTCATATGTATGAAGGGCTATCATTGTTTTGCGGTAGAACTAGATAAGATATAGATTTCAATATGAAGCGACAAATCTATTAATAAAACCCTCCGCTTCGAAGCAGTCTAGTCTACAAATAACAGGGGTTATTGGTTATTTGGCACATCTTCTAAAACTCTTTTTATGATTGAGGGTTTACTGGTGGCCCGAAGGCCTTTCCAGTTTCACAAGAACAGGTGGGCGAGCAAGGGCTCCTCAGCCAGAAAGGGAATTTTACAACTCTAGTGACAACATCGTGTGGTGATGATAACTAAAGGTCCGTCGATACAAGTGTTTGGATGAAGAAGCTACAGCATGCTCATTACTTACATCAACCGGTAAAGTTTTCTTGGAGTTGAGATGTTCAAGCACCAGCTGTAGCGGCCCGCACGGGTACAACTCGTTGAAGTCAACGAAGGCCTGCGCTATACTCTTGAAGAGCACCATGCGCTGCTTCTCTGTTATCGATCACACAATATCGTGAGGTTTGGTTTAAGAGACATTTTTGCAACTTCACGCGAAAGCCATTTCAAAAATATTGTTACGCCGGTAAGAGTAACGCCATCTATCGTCGAATAGTCGAACGAATATCGAAGGATCTAGTAGCACCTAGAACGCTCGAGAAGTGCAACGCCATCTATTGTCAGATAGCGAAAACACAATGGTCGAAATGTGTGGAATATTCTCGATAATTCTAGGGATGTGGTGTTGGCTATAAAGGCGTTGCAGAGATGGCACGCAGTCAGTCAGTAATCGGAACAACTCGAAACGAAACAGCGAACGGATCACCTGAAGCGAAGCGAAAGAAGCGAATTGAGAAAAGTGTAGTGAAGTGTTTAAAGTGTTCTAAGTGTTGAATATAGTGTTAACTTGTTATTCGGTAAAATTTTATTTATCCCGAACCCCAGCGCGTAACAATATCATAACAATAAAATTTCTCCAGCTATTTGAACGGAGTACACTTAGTTGAAGTTTAATTAAAAACATTGAATTGTTGATACTAATACCGATAGTAAAACTGATCTTTAATTACAAAGATAAATGTCATGTACTACGCGAAATGTCGCTTAAACCTTTCACCCCACAAAATATACAAGCCGTGAGATGATTAATTAATGATGAATTAACTGTAAAGGACTTTGATTTGTATCTAGGGGCATCTGTAAAAACCTGGCTTAGACATTCAATGCACGTCAAAGGGTTTGGTGTTACTGGTCGTAGGACCTCTTGTGAGTCCGCACGGGTAGGTACCACGGGTAGGTAATTTCAGCCGTGAAGCAGTAATGCGTTTCGGTTTGAAGGGTGGGGCAATCGTTGTAACTATACGTCCTTACGGATCCATCAGATCCAATAACCTTTGCATTAGATGCCTTCAGCTCTAATACTAGGGGCAGGCTTAGGGACCCCGGTAACCGTACTCGTCGAACTCGACAAAGAGGTCGACGTGCAACCTAACCCATGCATCAGCCCGCTGAGTTTCTCGCCGGATCTTCTCAGCGGGTCGCGATTCCGATCCGGTAGTAGATTCATNGCCTTCAGCTCTAATACTAGGGGCAGGCTTAGGGACCCCGGTAACCGTACTCGTCGAACTCGACAAAGAGGTCGACGTGCAACCTAACCCATGCATCAGCCCGCTGAGTTTCTCGCCGGATCTTCTCAGCGGGTCGCGATTCCGATCCGGTAGTAGATTCATTCGCGAAACAATTGCTCTTGAGTTGTTAGGTCTCCTTTGGAGAGTTGTTAGCAAGCTCGGGCAGTTGTTAGCAAATCCCGCCCCTCTTGGCTGAGCCTTTGCTCGCCCACCTGTCCTGGTGAAACTGGAAAGGCCTTCGGGCCATCAGTAAACTTTCAATCATAAAAAAAAAAAGATTTATTTAGTGACGTTACTTCAAAAGCCTCATTTGCTGTGTCACCATTTGTTGGCATTGTTACAGACCTGGGGTCCTCTGCAGATAGAGCTGGAGGAAAACGTTGTTTGGTGCCAGCTGGTGCAGCACACAACGGAGGAACTGGTGCGCCACGGATACCGCGCTGCCCGCCAGCCGTCCGCATCCCCCCCACTCCGTCTGCCACGAGTAGCCGCCCAGCTGTCCCGCCCTACAACATATCCCATGCCACATCCCACATCCCACGTCCCACATCATTGTTAGCGTTACCATTTCCTAACAAAGATCATCACTAACATTCAACAATTTGCCACAACATAATATTGAGACGCCATAATTACTCTAACGAGTCAATTCTAAGGTAACTAAGCATCCGAGAAAGGCTCTCTTTCATCTCCCGTGAACGTGTTATGAACTTCTTCGGACACATCATGCTGTCTCCCAGACATAAATTAGAGAAGCTCATAATTGCGGGTCCCATAGAGGGCAAGCGCGCTGTGGGCAGAACGCCAGTCAGATGGTCAGATCTAGTAAGCGAAGCACTTGGTGGGTAGTCTGTACCATGCGGTCCATGCCAACCATGATTGAACACAGTGGAAGAACGTCACATGTGGTCGCGATCCTCAGTAGTGAGGGAACGATATAGAAGAAGATAATTACTTTAACTGGTTTACTGGTGTGAGTCCACGCGGGTAGGTACCACCACCCCGCCTATTTCTGCCGTGAAGCAGTAATGCGTTTCGGTTTGAAGGGCGGGGCAGCCGTTGTAACTATACTGAGATTTTAGAACTTATATCTCAAGGTGGGTGATGCATTTACGTTGTAGATGTCTATGGGCTCCAGTAACCATTTAACACCAGGTGGGCTGTGAGCTCGTCCACCCATCTAAGCCATAAAAAAAACTGTATTTTATGGAACAGATATATTAAATTGTTTCTGAATTCAAACGGATATTCAGCCCATTTGATGGTCACCACGAAATTAAGGCCTTAATGCTTTTGATGCATAAATCAGACGTTACCTGGCTACGGCGTGTAAGAAGGCGGGAAGCATCGGCGCTGCTGCAGCAGGTTCTCGGTGCACGAAGGTCGCGATAACGATGATGCACAGGCCCAGCTCCTCGTCGCTGCATTGTTCCACTGCCGTACCGCATTCCGCACCTTAACGACATAACACAACACCGCAGACTTATATTGTTACTAGCAGTACCCGTCCGCTTCGCTGGGCATTTACAATTAACATTATTATTTATTGAAATTATTATTAGGGAGTCCAACGCTCATATAAATATTATAATATAAATAAATATAAATATATATAAGAGGCGACTCCGGCACAGTCCACGCTCTGTTCCTTCGTCAATTTATCTATACTATTACCGAAACCACATCAAATACCAAGAGCCTTATTGAAAGACTAGCTGTACCCATCCGCTTCGCTGGGCATTTAAAATTAACATTATTATTTCTCACCCCCACAAAGATTCTCATCATTAACGCCCCCGCAACTGGTGTAAGGAGTCCAACACTCTTATAAATATTAGCCTATCCATTAAGTACATATATTTTCTACATGGATACCAAGTTTCAAGTCAATCGGATGCATGGTTCAGTAGTTATAACGGAACATCCGTAAAAACCACTGAATGTTTATATATTTATATTGTTATTAACCGCTGACTTATATTTCATTTATACGGTACTGAAGTCTTTCAACTAATTTAACATTGGCATGCACTTTTCCATTACATTTTACGATAATTTGACTATGGTATGATACTTGGAGGCAAATACTCCTCAACAAACGCGGACGCTGTAAGAGATTCTGTAAGAAGTCTTAAAATCCAATCAGCATAAATATTTCTGATGCAAATAAAACTTAAATTTTACTTGAAGCTGGGTGTCCATATACATGTTGTATGACTGACTATGGTAATATAAAAACATAAAATATAAAAAAAAATTAGTATTTCGTTAAAATATATTTTACTATCCACATTATGCCCAATCTAGTATCAGCTATGTAAAATATCTTCTTGACATGTTTCTATTTTTCTACATCAAGACTTAGTTATTTCTATTAACTATATTAAAATTCAATTAGCACTAATTAAACAGCTTTATTTTAAATATTATTTCCGCTAAATCATCATTATAGTCGGTTATTATTGGCAGAGTACTGTAGTCGTGGTCATGTCGAATCCTTTCTTAATAAAGGTTTTCGCTTCCGGTAAATAAAACGTATATTTTTATTGAACCAATATTAAAGTAAATATATATAAAGAGAAGAAAATATATAAATGTGCTCTCCTTCGCTTCCTGTGAAATTTACACTTACAGTGTGCTTAGTGCGAGTTTTTTAACGCACTCGATAGCGTAAATGTTATCTCATATTTCTATGGAATGGGATCGTTTGCCTACGTTTGCCGCTAGGGGCACTGTTCCAACACCATACAAATTAGAGTTAACTTTTACGCTATCGAGAACGTCAAAAAACTCGCACTAAGCACACAGTACGGTCCAGTTACGCGTCGCAGCTAACTGACGCTAATTTTTTGTCTCTTTCTCGTATTCATTCGTAATGTTAACTGAGTAGGAGAAATCGTTAATATTCCATATGTCCTTGCGTGTGTGCTGTGTATAGTATAAGAAGAGGCAGTAGTTACATCGGTAGCAGAGTGGCGGCTGGTGCGGTAGGGGGGCGCGCCGCGGGCTGCTCTCCCACCACGAGCCGCACTCGCTCTCTGCTTCTGTCAGATGTGAGGGGACCATCAGTACACAGATTTTGCTGTGGACTACGACTAGGCTATCCTTGAATAATTATGAAGTCGTCGTGGCCTAAAGGATAAGACGTCCGGTGCATTCGTGTTGAGCGATGCACCGGTGTTCGAATCCCGTAGGCAGGTACCAATTTTTCTAATGAAATACGTACTCAACAAATGTTCACGATTGCCTTCCACGGTGAAGGAATAACATCGTGTAATAAAAATCAAACCCGCAAAATTATAATTTGCGTAATTACTGGTGGTAGGACCACTTGTGAGTCCGCACGGGTATGTACCACCACCCTGCCTATTTCAGCCGTGAAGCAGTAATGCGGTTCGGTTTGAAGGGTGGGGCAGCCGTTGTAACTATACTTCAGACCTTAGAATTTATATCTCGAGGTGGGTGACGCATTTACATTGTAGATGTCTATGGGCTCCAGTAACCACTTAACACCAGACGAGCTGTGAGGGCATCCACCCATCTAAGGAATAAAAAATAAAAATAAAAACTTGATTACCTTGTCCCTGTCCTACAGTCGTGGCTGTGGGAGGGGAACCAAGCTGTGCGGCTTGTCTGGCCAACCGACGGGGAGACGTGCCTATTCTAGATAAAAAAATACGATATGTCTAGATGAATTGATTCTTATGCAAAAATCCATGAGAATTGTCTTTAATTTCGATAACATATTGTTACGCTGGTAAGACTAGCGTCATCTATCGTCAAATAGCAAAAACTAATAACAAAGGATTTAGTAAAATTGAGAACGCTCGGGAAGTACAACGCTATCTATTATCAAATAGCGGAAACACACATCGAAACTGCTCGACCTGTCAGGAATGTTCTCGATAGTTCTAGGAAAATCGTATCGACTATAAAAGCATTGTAGAGATGGGATGAGAGATGTGAAGACAATTAGTAATCGGACCTACTCGAAGCGAAACAGCGAACGGATCACCTGAAGCGAAGCGGAAGAAGTGAATTAAGAATTTTAAAGTGTTCGTTAAGTGTTCTAAGTGCTTAATAGAGTTTTAATGTATACTTCGGTCTAAGTTTTATTTATCCCGAGCCCCAGCGCGTAACAATATTCAACTGTCTTTATGACAAGTCTGGAGAAATGAAGATGGTCGTAAGTTAACATTTACCTTTCAGTGGAGTTTTTCTTGTTGAGCTCATGTGGTCTTGTGGTCGGCACCAGCTTAGGAATCTGCTCCGGTTCGGATCTACTAGAATCCGTCTTGTCTGTTGAATCATCTACGAATAATTAAACTAAGTTAATCATTTAACCCTCGCTTGAAAAAGTACCAATAACGGCTTGAGGGTATTAGCAGAAAGACTAGATGGCCCGACCCTGGGTAGGGTCATCAAGTTGCATACTCTACATGCTGCTTGAAGAGGCTGCTAGGGACGGAGTTAATAGATTTATTTAAATACAAACATAGTTCTTAAGTTATTTATGATACGAATACACTATGAGACTATGATGTCTTGAAATAAAACTGCTGATACTAACTAACTGCGTGCCATCTCTGTTGATACGACATCCTTAGAATCGTCGAAGAAATTCCTCGGAAGACGAGTACCTTCGATGTGTGTTTCCGCTATCTGACAATAGATGGCGTTGTACTTCTCGAGCGTTCTAGATGTTACTATATCTTTCAATATTCGTTCGGCTATTTGGCGATAGATAGCGTTACTCTTACCGGCGTAACAATATCAAATATGTATATGTTTAAACTTATATAAATATATGTATGAGTCTGGTACTCATAGTACAGGGAATCCTTGTTAGAAGCCAGATGACCATGAAAGACTTGTCCAAGGTCATCACATAATTAAGAAAGTTATTAAAGTACCTGTCGGCAAGCTAAGCGCCTCCCTTACTCTGTCGACTAGCGCGTTGAAAACCGGATATTGTTCTTTATTCGGCTGAGGACCGATCGGCAGCAACCTGGTCACGAAATTTACGACATAACAACATTAAAAAGTAATTTTTTTTATTGCTTATGTGGGTGGACGAACTCACAGCCCACCTGGTGTTACGTGGTTACTGGAGCACATAGACATCTATAACATAAATACACCACCCACCTTGAGATATAAGTTCTATGGTCTCAGTATAGTTACAACGGCTGCCACACCCTTCAAACTGAAACGCATTACTGCTTCACGGCTGAAATAGGCGGAGTGGTACCAACCCGTGCGGACTCACAAGAGGTCCTACCACCAACAAGTAATTGTAATTAATATGTTCAGTGTCAATAAATATGTACCGCATATTTTTCACAGAAAATGTGATTACTTTATTTAGCTATGTAGGTATTTAATTTCGAGATCCCAAATCGGTTCCTTGTTCTTTAATTTCGTCCTATAGAAGATTGACAGACAGTTGGAAGATGTTACGGGAAGGGCCAATCTATCATTAGCTATTTTTTTTAATCGGGCCGTGGGCTGAACCTCATACGAGGGGTCCGCGCGTAGGGGACGCACGGGATATGTGACGGTCTCCAGAAGTTGGGAGCGGACCGCGGGCCCAAATTTATTTTAGGGCCCTACCCACCAAACGGTCATTAGTTATTACCATCGTAAATACCGACAACCACGAATCCGTTATACATTCCAATTTGAAGAATAATACCTAATTAAACTTTTAGACCAACAATTAGATTTAGAGAAAATCAGATTTTTCTAGACTTAGGTCTCAATGTCGCCTTGTCTATGTTAGCGTATAAGCTTTGGATGACACACGTGGGGCTTAATGTCATTTTATCTGTGACGCAGAGGGAACTTTTTAATTCTACAAACTTTGTTAGTTTTTCAGAGTTAAGTAATGATACTGGCGTGGTGTTGTCTGTTGGCGTTTTATACCAACATACTCCTTATTCTTATATAATAGTAAGGAGAGTTAAAGTGAGGGCCTCCCAGCTCGCTAAGTTTCTCGCCGGATCTTCTCAGCGGGTCGCGGTTCCGATCCGGTAGTAGATTCATTCGCGAAGCAGCTGCTCTTGAGTTGTGATCCTTTGGAGGCCCTTTCCTTTGCTCGCCCACCTGTCCTGGTGAAACTGGAAAGGCCTACAGGCCACCAGTAATCCTTCTTTTTTCTTCGTCGCTTTCTTCATTGCTGAAGGTCGTATCCCTGAAACTTGACCGTGGCCTGTTTCATGAGCTGTTTCCACCTCGTCCGGTCCTCAGCTTCTCGAATGGCGGTTGCGACTGGCAGCCCAGTTAGGGTGGTTATTTGATCACACCAGCGGCTAGGTAATCCGCCGCCAGGTCTCTTTCTTTCTACTTTGCCCGTCATAATCACTTTGTCCAAGTTATCTGACTGTCGGCAGGCAATATGACCGAAGTAGCTGAGGATCGTCTGGTAAGAGATTGTTGAGAGCCTGACTCGGATGCGAAGTTGATCCAGGATAGATTTATTTGTCCTCTTGGCCGTCCACGGAATTCGGAGCATTCGTCCCCAGCACCACAATCCTTCAATCATCAAAAAATAAAATAAAGTGGGGGTGTGAGGTACCTCTCGGTGGGCGGTATGCGGAAGGGGGCAGGCGCGTGCGTGTGAGAGGGCGCCGGCGCGGGGCTCCAGGCCAGCTCCATGCGGGACAGCGGGGACTCCGGCGACGTGTACGCACAGCACCGTACTGACGAAAATACATCACTTGTCGTTAACTACTATCATATTGTTAAGCTTAAAAAAATAAAAATAAAAAATAATTTTGTTTTTTATTGCTTAGATGGGTGGACGAACTCACAGCCCACCTGGTGTTAAGTGGCTACTGGAGCCCATAGACATCTACAACGTAAATGCGCCACCCACCTTGAGATATAAGCTCTAAGGTCTCAAGTATAGTTACAACGGCTGCCCCACCCTTCAAACCGAAACGCATTACTGCTTCACGGCAGAAATAGGCAGGGTGGTGGTACCTAACCGCGCGAACTCACAAGAGGTCCTACCACCAGTAAACTACTGGTGGTAAATGTTGTTAAAAAGTTGTTAAGCTTAACAGAAAATAATCCTATAGCTAACCATCTTTCAGTTCAAGTGATGAAGTCTGTGTGACTCCCATTTTTAGACATAATACTTAAACCGATAGATGACGCGTCGTAATAAAATGGAGAGTAAAAATTTATTTAGATACCTGGACTTTTTATGTGATGTACTTGTGGGTCTCTCGGCTGTGAGGGCCACTGAGAGAACTGTCCCTCACCAGATGACCCTCCCGTCTCCGGAGATGTACTACTTCCCACTATTAAATAAATGGCTTCCAAGATTAGCAACTAACAATTATCTACACATATTTTGGTATATTAAAAAGTTATGTGTTTGGACACCATTAGTCCCACGACAGATGCCTCCTCTGTTATGAGAAATAATGAAAAATACTTTAACTGAAATTCGAACCTGAATTCCGTTGTGAAGTTGCCAACCATTGAACATTAAGCTAATCAGGCGATCCAAAAGGTTAGAGTTTATTAAAGATAGTCGCTGATTGGCTATTTGTATGATGTTATAAGTATCCAATTTGAGCCAAAGAATAGCATGGTTGGTTCATTGTTCAACTAGAGCCGTTGTAAAAGATAGCTTTACAGATGCAGTTGCCACTTTCACGATTTTCAGTTTGTTTTTATTTATTACTTAGATGGGTGGACAAGTGGTTACTGGAGCCCATAGACATCTCCAACGTAAATGCGCTACCCACATTGAGATATAAGTTCTAAGGTCTCAGTATAGTTACAACGGCTGCCCCACCCTTGAAATCGAAACACATTACTGCTTCACGGCAGAAATAGGCAGAGTGGTGGTACCTACCCGTGCAGAATCACAAGAGGTCCTACCACCAGTAAAAAAGTACAATGAACGTTACAAAAAATATTTAACCAACAAACTTACCGACAATTCTCTTCTGTTTTCCGAGGATCTTGGCTCTGGGCGAAGTCTGTTGTCCGTGCAACTGGTCAGGCCATATCTCCACCGATTGACCACTCATCGGTGTTGATTTCCTGAACGCGTAGAATAAAATAAACCTCATTGGGCACTGGCAAAATGTCAACAATATTTTTGTAGTAAAACGATAATGCAGCAAATACTTCGGTCACATTTTTCAGTGACAATTAACTTCAGATTAATGTGAACCTTTTGTGCTTAGTGCGAGCTTTTTAATGTTCTCGATAGCGTAAAAGTTAACTCAAATTTGTATGCAGTTGGAACAGCGCACCTAGCGTAGACAAACGTTCCAACTCCATACAAATATGAGTTAACTTTTACGCTATCGAGAACGTTAAAAAACTCGCACTAAGCGCACTGGTATTGAGTGATCACCGAATCCCATAGACACTTGAATACCGCCACTCATTTGGAGACACGAGGTCAAAATCTGAATTGTATTGTGTAACGACTCTTGGACCCATAATACATAGCTTTTTTGCAGCAGAAATAGAAAAAGTGGGAGTGCCAGCTGCTAGAATGATTTAGGTTACTGCACAATGCCATTCAGCTGAATGTAGAAAACAGACTCACAAATTGGAGGAGTCGCTTCCTATGGAAACTGATGAGCTCGTGGACAGCTGGTGTGCAGACCTTGACGTGACTGCAGTCTGGAAATAATCAGTGACATCATCAATGTAACAGTTTCATCCTAAGGAACACATCCTTTATTTTCAGTAGACTTTAAATTTTAATTAATAACAATTAACTTTAATTTTATTTGAATTATTATTTAAAACAATACCATTCTGTATGTTTTCTTTACGTGTGTTTGGCACTCAAGTCCTCTTAAATGACAAGACAGATATTGATGAATTGTTTTGGGAGATTGAGTGATTTGCTGATTTTATAATACTTGGTAAGTTTTAGATTCCAAATTTATTATTTATTTGGAATACCGGGAAACATTTGCATATTAGAAGATGGTAACTTACTATTTTGTTAAAAGTCGGATGAGTTGTATTAGCGATCGGGGTCTCCACCTTTGGGGGATCTTCATAATGAGATGGCTCATCGAAAGAACCCTAAAACCAGATACAGTGCTTAAAATAAACGTGGTACGCCAATTTTTTTTTTTTTTTTCTATAGATGCTGAGAGCCTTGAGAGGCTATATCAGCGTAACCTTAACTAGTAGGTGAGCTCACGGGGCTCAAGCCTGACGACGTTGCTAACACGAACCCTAGCAAGAGCCATGCTTCGCACAATCTACCACCAGTTAGTTCGGAAACGCGACCCACTGAGAAGATCCGGCGAGAAACTCAGTGGGCTGTGTCTGAGGGTTGTAGGCCAATACTATAGCTTCGACGATAGAAATGAAAATGAACATGTTTACAGAATATTTGTTGTGTTTGGCACTGCATTGTCAGAATAGTATGCACCGTCAGACGAGCGCATAGCTCTCGATATTAAATGTTCATCTCAGTCGTATGCACTCTTGGCAGAGTGGTCGTGGTCATCATTTCGGGTGGTGGTACGCTTCACCAGACGTCGACATTCCTCGCGTACCGCGGACCTACTTGTGCACTTGTGTTAAATGCTCCTAGAGCTTAAAAACAGAGAGACGTGTTCTTTTCTAATCGAAAGCTCGACGGCTTTTTGGTAGCTTAAAATTATCATAGACTTTATACAATGAATACTGCGTGTTCTTGCAATTCTAGTTGTACTTCTTATACTGTTTAATTTGTGTTGCGATGAACATAAATACTTGTATTCGCGTAAATCTGCGACTTGGCTGTGCTGCTGACGTTGACATTGTTAATGTCTCTGAGCAACGATATTTTTTGTCCCTACCTATCCGCTGGTAGCCAAATGGGTATTCCAGCTACGCTCAGACGGGTAGGTGAGCTCACGGGCTCAATCTGAGAGAATTTGCTAACACTAGCCCTAGCCCTAGCAAGAGTAGTGCTTCGCAGAATTTACCACCAGATCGGAAGCGCAACCCACTGAGAAGATGCGGCGAGAAACTCAGTAGGCGGTGTCTATGGGTTTATCGAACTCTTCGTCGTAATCGACGAGTTCAATCAGGATGCTGACTAAAGCAACAATTACTGAAACCGTGGCGGCACTGTTTTTTAGTTTGCTGAATGTTTGGTTTGTCTTCATTGTTTACGTACCGGTGCCGTGCTCCCGTGCACTGTTGTGTCAGATTTGTCACTCGTTTCCGGTATTGCGATTAGCTCGCTCTCAGATGATTCCTGCTCCAAACTCCATTGTTGGTATCTGTGTTAAAATTAAACATGGAACTGGAAGATCAAGTACTTTCTAGTTATCTGTATTAATAAATACAAATGGACAAAAGGGCTCTCGTGGTATTACTACCAACCTCTTAAGAGGCTTCCAAAGTCAATGAACATCTCAAAAGAAATGTAGCCCTTAAAGTTGAGAGACTTAGCTATAAAGTCTTACCTTTCAATTACGGCTGTTCCACTTTAAATACTGAAATGTAAAGTGGCTTAAAAAGTTACATCAATCGCTTTACAGACGAGAATAAAAACAAACGTACCAATGAGAATGAGACGCCATGGGTATATTATCCATATTATACCCTACCCATAGCCATATATACCCATATTATACTTGGTATATATAATATTATACATACCAAAATTTCTCGATTAATTTATTCTTTAATTAGACAAATTGTGAGTGGGTAAAACTGATCCCCTGAAGCCGGTTCCCATCATATCCTAGTATAAATTCGTCAGCTGGTATGACTTACTTGGGTGGAGGGGCGGGTTCCTCCCAGTGAGTGTGCATGTGTGCGGGTGACTTGTGCGACCGAGCGGCCTCCCCCCCCGCCCCTGACATTGGAGGAGGGGAGTGCTCTGTCTTCAACGACGGCTGACTCACGTCTGTATATATAGACATCACACTCCTTACACATATTCGAGATTCAGTTAAATTGCTACAAATATCTGCACGGAATATCATGTAGAAGATTTTTAATTCTTAAAGTGTAATGTTAGTATGTTTAAGGCATCTAAAACTTAGAAAATAGTAGTAAATTAAGAGAATTTAGAAACAATTCTGCCTATTTCGGCAGTGAAGCAGTAATGCGTTTCGGTTTGAAGGGTAGGGCAGTCGTTGTAACTATACTTGAGACCTTAGAACTTATATCTAAAGGTGTAGATGTCTATGGGCTTCAGTAACCACTTAACACCAGGTGGGCTGTGAGCTCATCCACCCAACTGAGCAATAAAAAAAATATATTTTTTTTAAAACAATTATCCACCCAACTGAACAATAAAAAAAAAATTTTCTTAAAAACAATTGCTTTTTTATTTTTTTTTATTTAGTTACAACGGCTGTCCCACCCTTCAAACCGAAACGCACTACTGCTTCACGGCAGAAATAGGCAGGGTGGTGGTACCCACCCGCGCGGACTCGCAAGAGGTCCTACCACCATTAAAAATAAAAAACAAAATTCATAACATAACATAATGTTCTAGTTATTTCGATATCTGTTTTTGCTACTTGACAACAGATGGCGTTACTCGTACCGCCATAACAGTATTAAGATTAAAGAAACTCACCTCTAGCCCTAGCGGCTTGCGGCATAACAATCATTGGAGGTATGCGTTTGCATTGATGATATTGTGCTTCTAGCGTGTTGAGAACTATGCGAACAAGCAGTTGAACCTGGCTGCAAAGCGCGCCGCTGTCATAGTGATACTGAAATTTGAAATAACTAGAGATTTACTAAAAATTAATGAACGAAATTAATGAAATACTTTTTTTAAATGAATATTAATGAAAAATGTTGTATTAGACAAACAAGGGGTAAGGAAGGGGTCACGTAACGTGGGACACCCCCTGGCTAGGTGGTGCGATGACCAGTCAACGATGACCGGCAGGAGGTGGATGAGGAGAGCCAAAGACCGGACTCAGTGGTGTGGATTGGGAGATGCCTTATGCCCAGCAGTGGTTGGCTGTAGATGATGATGGTCACGAAGTTAAAAAACTTTCGTTTATAAAGTACAATTCACTCATACGTCTTCGAGTAATCCCTTTTACCCGATCCTGTAGACCGAATGGTAAACAGTCGACGTCGCCCAAAGCACGTCATTAGGGATCCTCCCGATCCATTAACGGTGCTTTCAGGCACCACAAGCACCGGTCACCGTCCTCATCGAACCCGTCGCTTGCGACGAAGGGCTCGACGAGCGAATTAGCCTATAGACACAGCCCACTGAATTTCTCGCCGGATCTTCTCAGTGGGTCGCGTTTCCGATCCGGTGGTAGATTCTGCGAAGCACTGCTCTTGCTAGGGTCAGTGTTAGCAACGCTCCGGTTTGAGCCCCGTGAGCTCCTTATGTAATAAAGCCTTAGATATTTTTTTTATGATTGAAGGATTACTTAAGACTTACCTTGTAGAGGACTACAAGGAGTGCCATGAGCCAATGTCTGCGCACATGGGGCTCGAGCGACGTCAACACCGCAGTGCCACTACCGCTTGCTCCCCCCACACTGTACTGATAACATAATAATAACTCCTTTATCTTTTATATTATTATCCAAATTTACAAAATAAAAGATGTGTAGTGTCGTGGGACGTGTCGGATAGGAACGAAGTTCCTTATTATAAAAATATTAATTTTATGTTCTATTCGAGGTACAAAGAAAATTGGAGGTTTCGCAACAACCCACGGTCATTCAGTAACGTCCGAACTTATTGTGGTACACTTCATTCACTGGTTGTTTGCATAAGAGTTAATGTATTGCGCAAACGAACGCTCTGAGATCGTGGTCAATGAATGATAAAAAAATATGTTATTAAAAATATTACGTTTCATACGTTACTTATTACATACGCTATTACAAAGTCAAGTTGTACACTGTGTGCATTACTAATAAAAATCTTACGTTACGGACGTTTCTTCCTGGTTAGGGTACCCCTCCGCATCGCCCCATAAGGAACTTCGTTCCAAAAATAATATTGAAACAAGAAAATACTAAATACCCACTGAAATCTTAGCTTATTAAATCTTAACTATGAAAAAATAAGTACGAGCCCTTAACAAAAATTTTACTTGTTATAAGTTCTAGATTTTTTATTTCTTAACTGAATCCAATTAACATTTGATTGTATAGCTCTCAAATCACATTTTTCACGTCAAAATTTCAACAGTTTTACTTGGCATATCTATCGCGGTAGTTAAAATAAATGTACTTACTTGCAAAACGAGTAAAGTGTACTCGAGTATGGTGGCCCCCATTACATGATTCTGGTCTAACACCTGAGGAAGGTTCGCCATGAAAGCGTTGAAGATCGACGATTGTCTGAAAGCAGGTAGTAATTTTTACAATAGCACAACTCTATCCATGCCTTTTAGTTAGGTACACAATTAAATTTACGAAATAACGGCATCATGTAATTGATCTACTATAATTTTAGAATTACAGTAACAAATTAGTGGTGGGAATATTATATATTATATAACCACAATGATAATCATATTAGATATTGTTACGCGTTGGGATTGGGGATAAACAAAAGTCCCACCAACGTACACTTTAAAATTTCGCTTCGCGTGATCCGTTCGCTGTTTTGCTTCGAGTAGTTCCGATTACTAACCGACTTCGTGACATCCTTACAATGATTTTATAGTCGATACGACATTCCTAGAATTATCGAGAACATTCCTCACAAGTCGAGTATTTTCGATATGCGTATCCACCATTTATCAAGAGATGGCGTTGTACTTCTCGAGCATTCTCGGCTTTACTAGTTGTTTTGATATTCGTTTCTGCTATTCGACGATAGATGGCGTTACTCTTACCGCCGTAACAATATTATGTATACTATGGTTACCCAGAATGTAATGACTATAAACCTAAACATCATATTATTACAAAATACCTACGAGCGCTGTTTAAGGATAGAAACAGACAAACAAATCCATTATAAATACCAGGGAATCATTTCGAGGGTTGAATTTAAGGGGCTATTTGGTTTAAACGATATTTCGCTTCATAGGTACGCGACATTTATCTTTGTAATTAAATGTGCCTTTTATTTGGTATTAATATCAACAGTTCGATGTTTTTAATTGAACTTCAATTAAGTTTACCCCATACAAATAGCTGAAGAAGTTTTTTTTATGATATATTTTCCAAATTTTAAGCTTTATAAGGCTCTCCTGTAAAGTTGCAAAAATGTAGCTTCAACCTTTCACCCCTCGATTTGTATTATTAGAATAATATGTCTATTTAGTCAAGAAAATTATATTTTATTCTTTTTAATACACTTTAATTAGCTTCATCTGTATCAACCTTTCTATGTATTCATTGGAGTATTTCAACGTAATTTTCATAAATTATAAGCTTTAAGAGATCTATTAACTTTGGAATTTGCACACACCTCAAGAATTAATGACATTACAGTATATTTTTACTTTGGTCTAAAAATTTTTCCAAGACAGAAAAATACTGCGGCTTGTTGTACTGCGGCTACTTGATATTTAAGGATATGTATTTATTAATTTTTGGTTTTTAAACCAATGGTTATATTTATTTGTTATTTATATAAGCTATCTACAACTCACCTCAAACTATATGCAGTGATGTGAAAGAATTTATCGACGGTATTATACCCGAGTAACATGAAGAGATGTTTAAGTACTTGCTCTTGTCGTTTCGATACGTATTTATCTTCGGTTGGATGTGCTTGATCTGACCTGTGCATATCAAATCAGCAGTATTCATAATATGTAGTTGCTTTAAAACTATCAAAAGTTTTAAAGATAAATTACAAAAAGTAATCCTAAATAAATAGATATTTACTGAACGAATCGTACCATTTTATTGATGATTTAAAAATCGGAAAGGAATGAAAAGTAAGATAATAGAGAGAAGAGAGTGGTTTTTCAAAATAATTTCATTATCTATATATATAAAAATGAATTGTTGTTCGTTAGTCTCGCTAAAACTCGAGAACGGCTGAACCGATTTGGCTAATTTTGGTCTTCAATTGTTGGTGGAAGTCCAGAGAAAGTTTAAAAGCTTAAATAAGCTAAAAAAAGGTTTAAATAACAATTTTGTTTTTCCTTTGATGTGTCCCCCGTCGGGCGGATTCCATTTGTTTGTTTTAAGTTTATTTTATACAACAGTTTAGGTCTTTTATTTATCGATTGAGGCACTACGAAGTCTGCCGGGTCAGCTAGTCATTTAATAAAAAAACATGGATTGCGCTTCAATAAAGCATGGGAGAAATAGTAGGTAAATGCTTATTTACTATCGATATTTCCTACATTATTTTTCTACAAAGCATTACTCAGATTTTTTAATAACAATCGGCAATCTGTTTTGTCACAACACCTCGTGAGATTAGGAATCGAAAAATGTTTTACTAATTAAGTTAATGGACGGACTATTATTCAATTGCCTTATCTTACCTAGACAAGAACTGCATGAGCAAAAAGGCTAACAAATTTGTGGTCTCTCTGTCAGCCTCCTCAAGATCGATCGCTTTGTTTGAAACCGTCGGTAGTGCTTCTTCTGAAAGATGTACATTTAAGAATACGTAGAAAACTTTGTGTTATGAGAATTATAAAACCACGGTATTACATATAGAACAATGTAGAAATTTATTTGCTAATGAAATTTACATTGCTGGCACCCCTGGCATTGCTGAAGTCTATGGGCGACGGTAACCACTCACCATCAGGTGGGCCATACGCCCGTCTGCCTACAAAGGCAATAAAAAAATAAAATAAAAATTATATGTTCTGAGTACATATATTTATTATTTTCAATATAAGTAATTAAAAAAATAATCCGGTATGTCTTAGTAATTTTCAAAATTTAAATTCGTTAAAGCGGTAAAGCGCTTTTTGAGACTGCTTTACGTTATTAAACAAAATATTGTGTCAGAAAACAAATAAACCATAAATTAAGTAGTACCACATTCGATATTGCTTATGTCCATGTTAGTCAATAAAGGGAGCTAGCAAAGCAACAACTTTACTGGTGGTAGGACTTCTTGTGAGTCCGCACGGGTAGGTACCAACACCCTGTCTATTTCTGCCGTGAAGTAGTAATGCGTTTCGGTTTGAAGGGCGGCCGTTGTAACTATACTGAGAGCTTAGAACTTATATCTCAAGGTGGGTGGCGCATTTACGTTGTAGATGTCTCTGTAGATGCTCTAGTAACCACAGTGGGCTGTGAGCTCGTCCACCCATCTAAGCAATAAAAAAAGAAGCAAATTAGCAATTTACCATGCGAATTACCGGTTCTCTGGTTAGTGCCCATCGGTTGTGGAGCTGACAGCAGCTGTCCCAGTCCGAACCTCGAAGTCTTCCTCTTCAGTAGTGGGGCTGAATACTGCCGCGGATACACCTTCTCGCGATCTAAGGTTTTATGATCTCAGTGAACCAGTATTTATATGGATCTCGTTAATTTATGTTCATTGAAAAGATTATGTGTCCGTGTGGGTAAATTTGGACGGATAATGATTTGTTAGCACAAGTATTTATGGGATGATTCTGCATGCAAGTTGCAAATTTACGAAGGTCCTAATATGACGTATTTGTTTAATATGTTACGCTTCGTGACATTACTTAAAATTTCGTTACAAAACTATAAGTTACGTGTAAGGACACAGGACACATAGCCAATTTCTTAACACTGATACTTCTAGTTTGAACCACTCTTCAGTAGTCTGTGAATTTACATTAGTTCTGGGGTATCCTTTATATGGAATTATAACTTATGGTTGTGTGTCGAATAGCATTGTTGGTGCGAACACCCACCGTGCCTATGCGCGTGCAGCACGGCGGCCGGTGCGGAGGCGGTCCGTTTGTAAGGGCACTTGGGTCCGAGCGAGGCGCTGAGGGCGTGCAGGGCTCCCCCACCCAGCGCCTGCTGCGCGCGCCGAGCCTTCTGCGCGACCCGCTCCGGACTGGCTTCACTACTCACCACCTCTGTGCCCGGAGCATACAGAATATTTCAAACTAGTGGTCCCTCCGTAGACGAAATTCGACCATAATTAATTAAAATTATAAGTTTGAACATTTTATACATTGTATTATCAAAGCGAAGATAGCCTTGAGAGGCTATTACAGCTTTACCCTAGTATGTAGGTGAGCTCACGGGGCTGAAGCCGGAAGTATTGTTAACACTGGCCCTAGCAAGAGCAGAGCTTCGAATCTACCACCGGATCGGAAACAAGACCCACTGTGAAGATCCGGCGAGAAACTCAGTGGGCTGTGTCTGTGGATTAATTTACTCGCGGAGCCCTTCGTCGCAAGGGACAGGCTCGGCAAGGATGGTGACCGGTACCTAAAACCATCGTTAATGGATCAGGAGGATCCGTAATGACGTGTTTAAGGCGACGTCGACAGTTTACCATTCGGTCCACAGGATCGGGTATGTAATTCCCGGCGGCCACGACAACAGTGTTTTCGTGTCGTGCCGCCTTCTCAGAGTGGCACAATCATGCCGACTGTCAATACTTACTGACTGAGTCAAGCTCCAGGTCATCACGGACCCATCCTATAGAGAACGTAAATTGGCTGCCGGCAGATATTAGATAATATGTAGTTTTGTAATATAAGTTTGAATTACACATACAAAGGCCGCAACTTATGATTTTCTCCTGTGTTATTACTAATATATTACTAAGATACCTGAAAAGCCACATACGCAAAAAGAACATACACATATTCGTGAACACTCAGGAGATTCTTATTCTGAAATATCTAACATAGATAAGGAAAGGGATTGAACCCTAATCTTTGGACATACGAAGTAATCAATTTTTCAAGTGATGACAGATCTAATCTTTGACACTGTCCAGTAATTTAATAAAAAATATTATGTAGAATTCAAAGCAGTTTTTGTTTTTTATCACTCCGACTTAAATTTACAAAACCTTACCTCGTAAAGCATTCAAGTCGATAGATTTATTAGAGTTGATATGCGCTTCTATGAGCAGCGCTTCGAAGCGATTGAGGAAGAAATCCCAGGTCAATATGCGGCGATCGCTTAGCGTGTTGTGGAGTTGGTATATCGACTGAAGTATCATTGGACGGTCCACAATTACAAGATCGAACTGCGTCTCCAGACAGTAAAGGAGGAGCTGCAGAAAAAAACCTTGCTTAGATGGGTGGACAAGCTCACAGCCCACCTGGCGTTAAGTGGTTTACCAGAACCCATAGGCATCCACAACGTAAACGCGCCACCCACCTTGAGATATAAGTTCTAAGATCTCAAGTATAGTTACAACGGCTGCTCCGCCCTTCAAACCGAAACGCATTACTGCTTCACGGCAGAAATAGACAGGGTGGTGTTACCTACCCGCGCGGACTCACAAGAGATCCTACCACCGGTAAAAACTTATTTAGAGACTATTATAAATTTATCAATCGTCTTATGTACGTAGATACTGTTCCGATCATTTAAGACGCAAATAAATTACTTGTCGAAGGTTGGGTTAGCCACTTTAAACACGAATGATACTTCTATTTCATATTTGAAGGTGTTAGCACCTACGAATTTTTAACGAGCAATGTACAAAATTTTATTCATGTTTACCTACACCATCACATCTGGTTGTGAAACCTGGGCTTTGACGAAACATCATAGGGACAAACTAGCAAGATGTCAGAGGGGTATGGAAAGGAGCATGCTAGGCTTGAAACTAAAGGACAAAGTTAGAAGTGTAGACATCAGGCGCAAAACGAAACTAACAGACATCCTGTCACGTATTGATCAATTGAAATGGAGATGGGCAGGGCATATGCTCCGCTGCAAAAAGGAAAAATGGAGCAAACAGGTGACAGTATGGTACCCAAGGGATGGAGCGAGGAGCCGAGGTCGCAAACCAAGAAGATGGGAGGACGAACTTAAAATTACCTGTGGACCCCTTTGGGTTAGAATAGCAGCAGACAGAAAGCAGTGGAAAGAGTTGGAGGAGGCCTTTGCCGAAAGGCACACCGAGATAAGAGACATTTTGTAGTTTAAGTGTAGATTTTATTTTTATATTTTGTTTTAATTTGTTATATAGTTTTTAGTTTTTTTAATCTACTTAAAATTATTAGCTTAAAATGTAAATTTTCGGAAAATAAAGGCTTTATTATTATTATTATTATTATTATTATTACCTACACCATTTTCACAATTTAAAAAATGGCCGCGCCAAGCTAAGTTGTCCGTAACGTAAAAATTAAGAAATAACCTGTATAAAGAAAATACAAGCTCCACATCGATTTGGAAGTTTTATTCAAGAAACCCAAGCATTCAACATAAGGTGTCTTGACCTTACCCACCCGGGTAGCTACATTCAAATTGTGATATCGTCGTCGGATTAAACTGAAATCTGCACACGTTTCAAGGATCGATGAAAATAAATTATTTTTTAAGGTCCCTCTAATTTCCTGACTCAGCCGGATAAACAAGATGAAATTAATTATTAATTCAATTCAGATTTCATTTTTGTTCCATTTGGGGTAGAAACGTTGGGCCCATGGGGTCCATCTGCTAAAAGTTTATTTAAGGACCTTAAAAAAAAACTTTTTGAAGCCTCGAGAGACCAGAAGGCCGGTACGTATTTTGTACAAAGAATTAGCACTGCTATCCAGTGTGGAAATGCTGCCAGCCTTCTGGGAACGCTGCCAACTGGCGGTGAGCTAACACAGAGTTTCTATTTATAAGTAGCTTTAATTAAAACTAAAACTACGTTTTCACTTTATTCATAATTTAAGCTAAACGCTTTAAAAACAATTTTAAGGTTTCTATCTTGATGAGAACGGAATTTGTATTTCTAATCTTAAACGTCATATCACAAACCTCAATGGCATTATCGTGTATGGTCCCGATGTACAGAGTGGCTCTCTGCGCTACGTACACGTTGATATCGTCCATACTGGAGATGAGATAGCAGAACGCTGTCGCCATGGCCGTTTGCAACGCCAGACTCGTGTTAATCGGGGACCCATCCATGAACCTGTTGGCGATTGCGTTTTAAGTAGTCGATCGATTGCTCACTGTTAAAATGAACTTAAAATCTGTTTAAGGGATTTCTTGTGACCGATTTATCGATGATTATACTTAGTATAGTATATGCCACTATATGCCTTCGTAGGGTGCTGGAATTCTTCGGACATATTGCTCGTAAAGAGGGTCACAATCTAGAACACCTGATGACAGAAAAGGTAGATGGCAAACGTCCCAGAGCACGCAATCCCACGAGATAGTTGGACTAAATACGATCTTCTCCGAACCTCAACTTCCATAATGCCATTCATGAAGCTAAGGATCGCAGGAGATGGGAAATCGTTCGGGAGAAACTGATACAGCGGGTGAGTCACGACCCTCAGTAATGAGGAAAACGAAGCGAGGAGGAGTATACTAAGGATAATAGGTATATTAAGTACCCAAGGGAACTTCTTGGCTCACAGCGCAGAGAAGTCAAGATAATGAAAAAACTTGCGGCTGATGTTGAATTTGGGTAGGCTATATCTTGGACAGTGAAGATAAGTAATCTATCTATTTTAGATCAACTGCAAATCAAGACTAGACTGTCCACACTCTGCCTTCGCCACGCACTCGAGTACTTCGGTCATATTGCTCGGAAAACACCGTATAGCTTAGAGAGACTATTCGTGACAGGAAAGATCGAGGGAAAGAGACCGCGCGGGCGCAGTCCGACAAGGTGGTTCGACCAAATCCGCACCACACTAGAGATCCTATTCCACGACGCCCTTCATGATCGGAGGCGCTGGCGGGACATTACAAGGAGGAAAATCCTGTCGACATATAATGGTCACGACCCTCAGCAGTGAGGAAACGACGCGAAGACTGTAAAAAGTGTTAAAGTTGAGTGGTTCGGACCTTATAAGGACTTGAACTCGCTCCACAGCCGTGAAGCGGACGCGGTAGTCCTGATGGTGGAAGTTGTCTCGCAACAGACGGCACAGCACGTCGGCGCCGCCCGCCAGCGTCACGCAGTGCAGAAGCACCGGCACAGACACCGAGCAAATATGCGACTGGGCAGCTAGGCACACGCTCCACAAACTGAAATGAAATACTTGATTAGACCCAACATAGAGATACGAATTCACAGTCTTTCTCACTGTAAGCTGTTACCAGAGCTCGTAAATGACTTAGCCTTTATACCACTAACCATCTTAAGACATTAAATTAAGATCCCTAGACTAAAAATTTACAAGTATGATATAAGTACAAGTGGTAAAATAAATATAATAAGGTCCAAGCAAGTTCGCACAATACGCGAATCAGAAACATGTAGCCCTTTTTTTTATATCTCCCAACCTGGTAACCTGGTAGTCTAAGGGGCTATTCAAACTATGGCCAGCTTGGAGCCAATGTCAGTATCATCATACCGGTGATATTATTGTTTGTTACCAGTTAAGCCCGGTCACGTTGCTCTGTGACTGTCGCTAATTACGTGAAAATCAACGACTTCTTAAAACCGCTCGTGCACCTTTTGTTCTAAATTAATCTTACTATATTATAGCCAAAGCTCTATTCTGATGCTTAAGATATTCAATTGTGAAGCTTAATCAAAATTGCTCCTCTATTTTTTGCGTAAAACGCATCTAAATTATAAGTAAGGTTATTAAACTAAACTTAGATTACACTAAAAACTACAAAAGTACAATTGATTTTAAATGTATTACTTATCAATTAGCAAGTTCTCCTGACACCAAATAAGGAAGCCCCTGTGGTCTGCGAGAGCGTCTGTGTTCAGCACCAGCACTTGGAGACATTGGAGAAGATGATACAGCACGTCCGGCCTAGATGTGCTCTTTAGTTCCTGATAATTCAATGATCAACAAAAAGAAAGGCTTAGTCAAAAAAAAAGGTATTTCAAAAATAATTCGAATTTCTTGTTAGTGGAGTAGAAGTTACGCAATTTCAATTTATATTAAATCACTACATAGTATAAAACAAAGTCGCTTTCTCTGTTCCTATATCTGTCAGTCCCTATCTATGCTTAAATCTTTAAAACTACGCATTGGATTTTGATGCGGTTTTTAATAGATAGAGTGATTGAAGAGGAAGGTTTATATGTATAATAACATCCATTAAATAGTTGAGAAATCAATAATAAATTACAGTTTCTGAAGTGAAGCGAGGGCGGGTCGCTAGTAATGCTATACATCGCTGAATCCTTTCGTGAACACAGATTTTAATTACACTAGACCTGAAAAATATCAGCGTTCTCTGGAATAGGAGACGGTGTACGTATGTCACGGTAACATTTAATTGAATTCTTATAACTTTTATATATAAGCTTTTGATTTTGTAGTCAAAAAGATAAGACGCTTAGTGGACTCGTACCAAGCGATATGAATATACCGGTTTTCAAATCCTATAAGAAATAAATTACAAAATATTTTCTCAAGAAATACATAATTCACACGTGTTCATGAATCAATTTGACGACGAAGGAATAACACAGAGTAATAAAAAGTCCAATAACCAAGTCCAATAAAACCAATAAAAAATCCAGAAAAAAAAATCCGTCTCACTTGAAGCAACTGATGAATGTACTGCAACTCTTGCGGCAGATCTTCTATACAGAAATGAAACTTCCCGGCGGACGTTGGCCAGAAGTTAACCATCTCCTCTTCTACGGATCCTGCCATCGTTTCATGATCTCCAAGCAGGTTTGGGGTAGAGACCTAAAGTAAATTCTTAACATCAATTAATACAATGCTCATACTTCAAATGCGTTTTAGGGAGGTTTCTCAGCGAGCGGTAGTTTAGTTGATCCCCAGTGGTTTGTGATTAGGGTTGCCACCTTTTTTTTGCAAATAAAGTACATTGGTTATTATAGGTAGGATATAAAAGTACATACATAGTATTAAAATAAAATTCAATTTATTTTTCATTATTATTATGTTTAAATACATATTTTTTATTACAATTGAATAAATTAAACAAGAACTGGTGACAATTACTGACAGTGAAATTGTTGACATTTAAGATTAATCTGAGTTCAGAAATATTTATGAAAAAAAACGAATGCTTAGGTGATGTAGCGTTCTGGAGCTTGGCCTTCGAGGCCCTAGGGGACCGGCTCGGGGGGCTTTTCGAAGCGTGCCTCGAGTCGGGACGGTTCCCGTCGAAATGGAAGACGGGCAGACTGGTCCTTCTGCGGAAGGACGGGCGCCCCGCGGACTCACCCGCGGGCTATCGCCCCATCGTGTTGCTGGACGAAGCGGGCAAGATGCTCGAGAGGATCGTCGCGGCCNAAAAAAAAAAAAAAAAAAAAAAAAAAAAAAAAAAAAAAAAAAAAAAAAAAAAAAAAATGTAGCGTTGGTGAGTGGCGACATCCATTAAGCAATCGATGTATTTCGCTTAACAAAAAAATACACATGACTAAACTTTTCAAAATCCCAAAGAAACCAAACCATGCCAAATAAAGTATTTCCGTGTACTTTATTGTTCACCTAAAGTATAGAGTACAATAATCTGAAATAACGTACAATACTTTATTATAAAGTACGGGTGGCAACCCTATTTGTGATGCCCATGAGTGACGGTGATTAATCACGATCTGGTGGGTGACATATGCGTCATACTTAGACACCAATAGACGTGCTAAAGGTAAAGATATTACTGCACGCGGAACTCAGTATGTGTAGCTAAATAGCTCATCCCGAAACATGTTTCAAATAAATGCGTACGAATTCCTAGCTTTCACTTGACGCCTCCAACGTTCCGCCCTACTCTTCAATGCGGTCAAAGACATTTAACTTGTAGTCTTCAAAACCGCTCGATGACAATATTGTCATCCCCTATTCATCAGAATATAGATAATATTATAACATGGACCTGGTTTCTTCGGGTGTCATTACTATCACAGTGGTAATATGCTCTTAATTCCCAACCCTAAAGCAAATTTTTATCCTGGTCTATGATTCCCAAGAGAGAACGGCATCGAGTTGGCGACAATTAGTGACACTGTAAATGTTCAAAATAAAATAGCAAATAAAAATTATATCACATACCTATAAAAAAACAGAATGGGCCTGGTTGGTATAGTCAATAAAATATGATCACATCTAGTATTTTTTTGCGATTTACACAGACACAATTAAAAGTACTATTACGGTTATATCTTGCCTTTTTTTAATCGTCATTATACGATTTCCGATATTTGGAATACTTTACAGGTTTCGTGGTCACGGACGATGATATTATAATAAGAATAAAACAAGCAAAATTTAACGGTAAAAGTAGTTTTAATTATGATTACTTTCTCTCGCCGGATCTTCTCAGTGGGTCGCGTTTCCGATCCGGTGACAGATTCTGCGAAGCACTGCTCTTGCTAGGGTCAGTGTTAGCATCACTCCGGTTTGAGCCCCGTGAGCTCACCTACTAGTTAAGGTTACGCTGAAATTGCCTCTCAAGGCTATCAGCTTAGGTAGGAAAAAAATTGGTTACCTCTAATCATCTAAAAATAGATAGGTCCTTAAAATACTCACATCAGCAGTAGCAGTGGCAACATCCGTGTCAGTTAAGGTGACAGTGTGGGCTGTCGCCATTGGCGGTGCTTCTGGCAGAGACACCGCCATGTCAAGCTGTTCCGTGATCGTCTCCACCGTTGCTGTCATTATCTGATCCATATATTTTTTTTAATTACGCTCATTACTACGCTTGATCGTAACTAAAATATTAGAGACGAGCTCTGGTGCATTTTGTTGTGATATTTGCAGTTAAAAATATTGCCGTGTACAAATTATAAGTTTGTAACTGTACTAACCTAGGTGTACAGTTGCTTTCAACAACTCTTTTACATCTGTGGTATAGATTATTACGAAACTAAAGAGCTAATGTTGTGTACGACAGTATGAGAAATATCAAGCAAATAACTGTCGCGATTCTATATATATAAATATACATTTGTGAGTGCATCTTTTTGTGCAAAATCGAAATTTTAAAGGATCGTTTCCATTTTCAGCACTAGCATTGGTATTAGTTATATATTATAAAAGTTAAGTATGTTTTACGTAAATCAATCGATTAGGGAAACTAATGCTATGGACAGGACGATATAAATTATTTATTTCTAAAAGGGTCTAAATTAAAAGCTCTCTTCGAGTGTGAAGTCGAACGTAATACTGTAATAATAAGTTCTTGATTCGTTTGTGAATCTGAAAACACACGCGGGTGTAACTCCTAGGTTGGACTTGTCGAAAGAGATACTTATATACCAATCAATTATTATACCAATAAGATAAAAAATCCCCAAATATTTAACCGTTTACAAAAATATGCTACATTAAAATGCCAATGTAAAACTTACTTTGTCATTTGTTCTTCTTTTTTTTTATTTTTTTTTATTGTTTCGATGGGTGGATGAGCTCAATGCCCACCTGATGTTAAGTGATTACCGGAGCCCATAGACATCTTCAACGTAAATGCCACCACCCACCTCGAGACAAGAGTTTTAAGGTCTTAGTTTTAACAGTACAACAGCTGCCCCACCCTTCAAACCGAAACGCATTACTGCTTCACGGCAGGGTAGTGCCTATTTGGCAGGGTGGTGGTATCTACCCGTGCGGACTCACAAGACGTCCTACCACCTTCAATACCGAATGTGGAATAATAATAGTTTGAAAAAAGTTGACAAGTCAATATGAATGAAATTATTTTGCATACATTTTGAATGCACATTCGAAGAGAGCTTCACACCAAAAGCACGGGCTATTTTTGCGGGGTGGCTAAAGTATCGAGTGACAGTCATTGGTAAATTAGGGAACTGCTTATAGTCAATGTACGCTTCATCATCAAAACCTAACAAAGGCTTTAACTACCTGATACTCGTATTTCGTCACATGTAATGAGTATGCATAGAATTACGATGCAAATCAATTCTTCGCAAGACATTCGATCCTAATTCTCTCAACGTTCTCCCAATTTTTTCAACATTCCTTTTACTAAGCGCTTGTGTATTATATATTAGCACAAGCTCATAACATTTTAAACAGAACAAAAATCCGTAAACTTTATAGTGTTGAAAGACAAATACAATGGAAATAGCTAAAATTTCTACTAAAAGACTTTAAACTTAAAATCTTCTACTGCTAATATTGAAATATTAGCCCTTATCGTAAACTTTTATATTTTTAGATAAATGACATTTGTTCCATATTACGTGATGGAGACATATTTTGAATCAGAAACAAAACTTAGTTTTAAAAAAAGTTTGACAAGATAATTTTTTAAACCAGAAATGTTTCAAGAGTTGACGTATTAGTAAGAACATAGCAGCAACAATGACTATCACTCTATAATAAAAGCACACAACACATACGAGACGTAAGAAGCTTAAAGCGTATATAAGTTGGGAACGTACTTGTGTATCGGTCGTGGACTTAGCGAGCGTCGAGTCCGGACCGACGTCATTTAATAGCGACAGTTGCATGAAATGGACAAACTATACAACTATTATAATTTTGATACACATTTAGTTGAGATGCGAGAATGAAAGTTGATCAATATCTACTACGGGCTTTATGACAATTCAATCTGTATGCGTTCGAGTCAGTCAATTGGATTTTTTTTATATTGCTCACAGCTCACCTGGTGTTAAGTGGTTACTGGAGCCCATAGACATCTACACCTTTAGATATAAGTTCTAAGGTCTCAAGTGTAGTTACAACGGCTACCCTGCCCTTCAAACCGAAACGCATTACTGCTTAACGGTAAAAATAGGTGGTGGTACCTAACCATGCGGACTCACAAGAGGTCCTACCACCACCACTATATATATACATATATACTATAACTTTTATTATTATATTAAAAACCTGTTTGTCAGAACAACAACCACGATTAGTTATAAAGTTATGTTTTATTTTTATCACTTTTATTTTTCACTACCCAATCGCTAAAAGCCTAATGGACTGTTCCAACTACGCCCTTACGGGTTGGTGAGCTCACGGACTCAACTTGAGAGAATTTGCTAACTCTAGCCCTAGCAAGAGCAGTGTTTCGTAGAATAACTACCAGATACACTATGCACAAGGTAATGGCACTAGAAAATTGTGTGTACTTTTTTTTATTGCTTAGATGGGTGGACGAGCTCACAGCCCACCTGGTGTTAAGTGGTTATTGGAGCCCACAGACATCTACAACGTAAATGCGCCACCCACCTTGAAATATAAGTTCTAAGGTCTCAAGTATAGTTACAACAGCTACCCCGCCCTTCAAACCGAGACGCCTTACTGCTTAACGGCAAAAATAGGTGGTGGTATCTAGCCGTGCGGACTCACAAGAGGTCCTACCACCAGTAAGTGTGTACTTGTGAATATAATTACATAATACTATAAAGAAAGTTAACTAATCTAACTCCTCAACGCCCACTAATAAGAGCTCCTCATATTTTGACTTATCGACTTTGTTTCAATCATCGTTACGCAAAATAGAATTTTTAGTTTCTTTTTAACTTTCAAATAAAGTAAACGACAGTAATCAGTCTTAGATGTGGCATTTGAAATATGATTTGCATGAACATTCTTAGATTTGTCTAATTGGTATTGGTCTTGTATGACATAACTACTGTTTCTTTTCTTGTAATCTTATGCAACCGTGTTGGCTGAATAAATAACAAATGATCTTATAGTAACCATTTCATTAAACAATGTAATTTATATGAACGCTATTGTATTGAAAGGATGGAGGAGACCTTTACACAAATAAGGGGCCTAATCTCATAAATAATACTAAGATTAAATAGTCTGTTTTTAATTTAAGTAACAACTTATTAACAAATGTAAAATATATCGAAAGTGAGTTTTTTTTATTGCTTAGATGGGTGGTCGAGCACATGGCCCACCTGACGTTAAGTGGTTACCGGAGCCCATAGAAATCTACAACGTAAATACCGCCACCCACCTTGAGGTATAAAGTTCTAAGCTCTCAATATAGCTCTCAATATATATATACCGACTTTTGTTTTATTACTTTACTGTGTACATATTAAGGTGTTAAATAAATAAAGAGTTATTATTATTATTATTATTATTATAGTTACAACGGCCGCCCCGCCCTTCAAACCGAAACGCATTACTGCTTCACGGCAGAAATAGGCGAGGTGGTACCTACCCGCGCGGACTCACAAGAGGTCCTACCACCAGTACAATTACCAGATTTGGATTAGATGGCTTTATTATTATTATTGTATTGAAAATAGCGATGATTATAATCTTATGTGGTAGATCCTAAGAAGTTATAGGCCAACTTTAACTATTGACTGCAGTAGACCTAAAATTAGTGCTTGACACTAGCTGAAAGACTATCACAAGCTACAAAGTCTACAAAAAGACTACCAAAAGTCTAGTCTGATACCTAAGAGCACATTACTCACATCTTACAAGAGGTTCCATAGTACCGAAACCACAGATTCTTCAAAATGACGAACTTTTTGAAAAAAAAAACATTTTTTTTTTTATATTTCGTTAAAAATTAATTATAAAGTTTTGTGGTTATAAACACTTATTATTTAATAGTTTCTTGTCACGATTTTTAGTTTTAATGAGCTCTCGATTTTACAGTGCTGTTGCAAGCGCCATGATCTCAGATAGACAGCCCACTAGACTATCTGTAACTGGAAACTCATTACCACTAAAATTTGTCATAAGACCACATTAAACAATAGCGTTTATTAAGTTAAGTATTATTCAAATTTCTATTATTCAAATAAACTTTCATTCTCGCATCGTCATAGGATACTGAAAAGAAATGTTATAAGAAAGAAACAAAACGGACAACATCTAGATGCATATCGAGTATTCAGTAGTTGCAATTTCTTTTTAATATTTAGCAATAAACTAGTTTTCGCATTGAAACATTTGCTTAGATTCGATAGAGCTAATATATAAATAAGCCGCGCCATTAGAGAAACGAATCTAACATGGCGGCGGCGATCATGCGCTCTCACTCTAATCTATTGCTGTCTTTAGTCGCACACGGCGCGTACTGCTTGCAAAAAAAGTATCAGTTCGAGTTTTTTCACTTTCGAGTTGTGCGACTTAGACGACTGGCAGTAAAAGTTTCCACGCAAGTTGCATCCCAGATGAGACACCACTCCCTCTGGACGGAATAAAGTAAAGTAAAGTATATTCTCATTTGTTTTTTTATATTTTTTTACAATAAACAACTTTTTCTTTCAATCTTTCTTTTTATTGGAACGAAGTTCCTTATCGCGCGTATTGTGAAAGGGGGCTAGACGGAAAAAATTCTTACGAAAAGTTGTCACGACACTTTTTAGATCCGTCATTCTGACCAATCAACGTGTAGGCGCTTATCGCGTGACATTGCTCGTATCCGATTGGTCCGCGTAATGAGTACAGTTTCTCGAGATAGCGTTTCAACAATAGTAATTTAGTTCATAGTATTGTTTTTTTCTTCTTCATAATGCCGTAATTTATTATTATAACTTAAAAAAAAAATTACAATTCCTTCACTAATTAATCGAAAGGAACTTCGTTCCATCCGGGTGTCCCTTGACACCTCTGAACTTTTTTTGTTGACCCTACCATCTGTCAGTGCAGGTACATAGACGCCATTTTCGATTTGTTTCTTTATTGGCGCGGCTTATACCCTTATAATATTCTTTGGAACGAAATACTTCTTCGCGTCACTAAAATTGTCACTGGTTAAGTAGGCTTATTGAAAACTCGTTATACAGACTAATGAAGGCGACAGGGCATGATTATCACAACATCTGTATGACTATAATACATAAATTCATATTCTGAAAACATTGATTACAATTCTAATAACACCTAGGATCATGGATAAAGAAATTTGAACTAAAAAAATTAAAAAAAAATTTGATTGGTAACTTAAAAAGTCAGATAAAACATATTTTCCAAGTTCATTTCCTAAGTCCGGTTTGGCCTTTAAGTTGACCTGTTAGTTGATGGCGGTATGTACATTAACTCCACTTTCAGTTTTCTTAAAGTATCTTAGTAGAAGAATTAATTTGCTCAGATGGGTGCACGGTTTCATAGCCCGTTTGGTGTTAGTGGTTCACGAAGCCCAACAGGATTGCCACCACTACCCTTGAGACAGTTTCTGAACACATGCTAAATACATATTTGTTTGGAACATTTGGTATCTGACTGCGGGATTTGAGCATAGGCACATCCTTCGACGCGATTACATCGAAGAGCTTATCTGGACAAAAAGCTACGACGAATTCCCAATTATTTGAGCAAAACTTGCAGCAACTTCCACAATGACTTTAAATTTGACTATTACTGTCATTTCCTATATAAATAGAGCCTGCATTTCAACTACAACTGGCATAGGTAGCCCTGTAAGGTAAAATAAATCACCAATAGCAAACAAGGTAAGGTAGACTGTAAGATTTATCTACTTATATGACAACAAATAAGGGTGCGGTAAAACATCGCAATCCGATACGGTACAACAACATAAACAATTAAGATGTAACAACATAATCAGCTACGACAAGGTACAAACAACAGTACGAACAATTAACGAAACATAAAACACAACCGGGTTGGTTACGATAATGTAACACAAGTTCTAAGATTAGATCCAATAAACTATTAAAAATCAGGTAACGCAATGAACAACAACATAAACAAGTAGGGGAATATGCAACAACATAATCAAAAAACGTAAGATACAACAATATGACCAAATGTATGGTATAGCATAAGTAAGGTATGATGTGTACGTACATGCGGCACGTGCACCAACACCCCGCCCACGGGGGGCGCAGGCGGGGCGGGGGGCGCGGCAACCAACACGTCACTCAACGGTGACTTACTGCAATCCTCTTCAGACTGGTTCTTCCTGCTCGACTGATCTGTCCATATCTCCTCTGACGATGCCTTATCATAATTATGTAATTGCTATTTTATTGCCGATTGTACCGAGATGGAGGTGGTAGCTACGTCTTAATTGTACTACATATCAGTCGTCATGGGATTAGTTAACTAATTCTATGACTGACTTCAAGTTCAGTGCAGTCTTAGAACTTTTTCTGCAGACGTTGAAAAATCTACTTAAGATAGGAATTAAATGAAGAATTACGTAGGTAGAAAAGTAAGGTAAGGGATTCATTCGCCACGGGTGGATGACGAGGGGAGAGCAGTGGCAATACAAAGTCGATGTAGCCTGAAGGATGAGACGCCCGGTGTATTTATGTATGAATCGATGTCACTTTGCCGGTGTTCAAATCCCGCATTTACGTTGTAATGTCTATATGTTCTAGTAACAAATGAACACTAAGTGAGCCGTGATGTTTATCAACAATCTAAAACAGTAAAAGAAAAAAAAAATGGCTCGATTCATTTAGAGATAATTAGATATTTTTGTAAAATATCTTCTGGCTTCAGTTGGTCGCAAAGTCCTAGATAAATTTTTTTATTGCCCTTGTAGGCAGACGAGCATACGGCCCGTCCCCCATGGACTTCAACGATGCCAGGGGCAGAGCCAAGCCGCTGCCTACCGTTAAGTACTCTCCAAAAGCCTCGTTTGAAGAAGGATATGTCATAGCGCTCGGAAATACCGTGGAGGGGAGCTCATTCCAAAGCCAGATGGTATGTGACAAAAAAGATCTCTGTGACAAATCTGCACACACCTCATGTCTGGCATGTCTAGGTCGAGTGGGTCCGAGAGCTGTGACGATGGAGACGCATAGTTGATGCCACAGTGCAGCCGCCTCGCAATACGAGCACGCGCCCTCCGCGGAACAACCAGCTAGGAAAAAAAGGGACATTTTCAAAAGTATGCAAATTCCCAAAACAGCAGACGATATCGGTTTGATTATGCTCCTACTATTATTGCGGTACAGAATTAGCGATGAATTTCGATCTAAGCTTCTTCTATTGGTGGCAAATATTCTATACTGAAATAATTTAGAATGCAATTGGTTTATACAGTTTTTCTACTAACCGTGTCCGATGGTGTTAGCTTGATTAGACTTCAGCATCAGTCGCAGTAGCTTGGTAGCGTCACTGCTCACGGTTTGGATGTTTATACGTCTTTGCTGCAACTCCATCTAGGGAACATTGTTTTATGTATTAAGAGCTGGTGGTGGTACTGGCTTACTGGTGGTAGGACCTCTTAAGAGTCCGCACAGGCAGGTACGACCACCCGGCCTATTTCTGCCATGAATCATTAATGCGTTTCGGTTTGCCTTCCAATGAATTCCAATTGGAAGAATTGGGTAGTGATTATTTCAAAGTAATAAATACACTATTATGTGGTGCTTAACCCAAATATCGGCAAGTTAAAAACTGTAAACAACAAATACCTGTTTCTTTAATATGTCCAACATGAGGATACAACAAGTCAGGTTCTGAGGTTTCATTTGATCATCTTTGTCCTTCTTCTCCTTATCGGTAGCATTTGGGGAGTCCTTCGAATCTTTAGATTTTGTGCCATCTGTTAAATACATAAGACTTAAAATTGCGTTTTCTACACAAGAATACTGTAAGAAACTTCACTAGGTATGGTACCAATAATATTTTTGACATAAGACAAACGGAAAACGTACGTGCCATTCTGAAAGATATATAATATAGTTATTGCAAAAAAATTATATTGTCTCTTGCCTGAAGGTTAGTGGCGGCGTAGGCTCTGTGATGTCTACGGACTCTTGTGACAACTTAGAGATCAATCGTAACATCTTTCACCAATCCAATGCAATTAAAAACAAACATGTGTGGCACTCGGGGACTGCCGCGCCAAAGCTATTGCATAGCATTTTTTATCAACTTATGCAATTATAATCAGACAATAATAATTTAATATTAAAACAATAATAAAATAAGACCACGCTATATTTATAAACATTAACAAAAGCAAAACATTAACTGTCTCCTTCACACTCATAAGCTAGACCGCGCGAGAGAGAGATGGACAGACTTTCATGATGCGCATGCAGTGCGACGTCACGCCGCGCGTTTAATCACAAACACTACACAAGCGCAACGTATGAATGCATTGAATGTGTTGTGGTAGACGGAGTGGGGATGTTAGGTTTTATTTTCGTTACGGAATTTCTTGATTCGGTCACCGCGCTCAAAGCCCACGATAAAAGCTACGCAATAGCTTAAAAATATATTTAGTACATTTATGTATCTATTTATAACATATCATTACCAGAACGAGGTGGGCTAACTATCTTCTCGGGAAGATTCACGACGCAGTGATTGAAAAGATCAAACAGTTGACTCAACGGTATCTTGACCTCTAATTGAGATATAGTCTGGAAATAAATTACATTATTACAATACATTGATTACAAGATTCGCAGACTAAAACTGTTCGTACTTATGTATCTGGAAAAAAACAATAATGAGGGCACTAAATTTAACATCTAAGAAGAGAAATTGCCATGTTTTTGAAGTGTTAACTTCTTTAGCACAGTTTTGATTTGAAACAAAAAAAGCGACACTAAAAAGAGACCAAACATATTTATAGGATTTGGCTTGCGACAGAATGAGATAAAATACTTCTTAGTAGTCAGTTCAACCAAAATATAACAGATATGTGAGATATTTTCTCTTAAAAACAATAAAGATTATTTTTTACAAACCTGAAACCACTCCAATACGGGCAAAACTGTTTCTGGTGTGGGACTCTGCGTGACCTTGATGGCGGCAAACTTGTACAGACCCTTCTCGTCCACCCCACCTAAAGCACCTTCGGGTTCCAAAATCTTACCCAGCGGTACTTTCAGCTCACTCAACTCCTATTACAAATAAAATATAAAACTTTATCACTATTCCTTCAATAAAGTTAGGGATGATTAGAGGAGGATGATTAGGATGAGTATATAACTACGACTCAGGGACATGATGAAGAAGACGCCGTTTCAATCAAAATACACAAGATAGAGTCTCGATTTTATTTTTGGAACGAAGTTCCTTATGGGACGATGCGGAGGGGTACCCTAACCGGGAAAAAACGTCCGTAACGTAAATTTTTTATTAGTAATGCACACAGTGTACGACTTAACTTTGTAATAACGTACCAAAAACAACATAATATTTTTTTATCATTCATTGACCACGATCTCAGAGCGTTCGTTTGCGCAATACACTAACTCTTATGCAAACAACCGTGAATGAAGTGTACCACAATAAGTTCGACGTTACCGAATGACCGTGGGTTGTTGCGAAACCTCCACTTTTATTTTCTTTATACTTCGAAGAGAACTTAAAATTAATATTTTTTATAATAAGGAACTTCGTTCCTATCCGGTGTCCCACGACACCACACATCGTTTTTTTACCTACCTTCTCCGGCATTTCCGTGCAAATAGCATCCATCCATGCAGGCATGATGTAGTCCCAGATCGATTGTGTTATGATACCGTAAGGAATCAAGCAGTACAACCTAAATAAAATAAAAAAGGGCCTTAGCTAATCATACAAATACCATATAATTGTAAGTTTTTGACAATTTTTGTTATTTTTTATTGCTTAGTTGGGTGAACGAGCTCACAGCTCACACTTGGTATTAAGAGGTCACTGGAGCCCATAGACTAGACTAGACTGTCCACACTCTGCCTTCGCCGCGCACTCCAGTACTTCGGTCATATTGCTCGGAAAACACCGGATAGCTTACAGAGACTATTCGTGACAGGAAAGATCGAGGGAAAGAGACCGCGCGGGCGCAGTCCGACAAGGTGATTCGACAAAATCCGTACCACACTAGAGATCCCATTCCACGACGCCCTTCATGCGGCCAATGATCGGAGGCGCTGGCGGACATTACAAGGAGCAAAATCATGTCGAATTATAATGGTCACGACCCTCAGCAGTGAGGAAACGACGCGAGGAGGAGGAGGAGCCCATAGACATCTACAACGTAATTGCGCCACCCACCTTGAGATAGTTCTAAGGTCTTAGTATAGTTTCAACGGCTGCCCCACCCTTCAAACCGAAACGCATTACTGCTTCACGGCAGAAATAGGCGGGGTGGTGGTACCTACCCGTGCGGACTCACACGATATCCTACCACCAGAAATCATAGCGCCCAAGAGCTCTGGGCTTGGGCTGACCTGTTGAGTCCGTCTTTCAGGTGGTGAGTCTTAGAGGCGAGGTTGTCCCAGTGGCCTGCCTGGCGCATGTAGTGAGGAGGGTGCGGCAGTAGACACGCCACCAGCACCCCGCGCTGCTGCTCACACAGCGCGCGCACCCAGCCGCAGACGTGCTCTAGCTTCAGCTTCTCTACAATCGTTGCCGTTTCGCCTGTGAGATGAATATAGGTACTTATGGCATCATCAGTTCTTTTAACACTGGCACACTTTGTAACTGATTCAGTGGTTTTTTCGTAGATTTCGACAAATTACGACAATAATTAATTAATTACACAGCCCACCTGGTGTTAAGTGGTCACTGACCCCCATAGACATCTACAACATAAATGCGCCACCCACCTTGAGATATAAATTCTAAGGTCTCAAGTATAGTTACAACGGCTGCTTCACCCTTCAAATCGAAATGCATTACTGCTTCACGGCAGAAATAGGCAGGGTGGTGGTACCTACCCGCGCGGACTCACAAGAGGTCATACCAGCAGCAATAAGATTGTAGATTCCATAAAATTTGTAATAAAATTGTAGATTGCCTGCCTACAATTTTATGAAATGCACATTGTCGAATTTGACCTCGCGTCTCAAATGTTAAAGCTTCTGTATCTATGGGCTTAATTTATTGCTTAATCTACCATAAGTCGACTGTCTACCTAAATGACAATTAAGTATATCTACAGTCTACACCAAAATTATGAACGTTTTTTTTTTTTCTAAAAGTAAACTAGTAGGTCTAATTAAAAATACACGGAGGTGGAATCATCAAACGGCACAAAGAAGAAACCAACGCCACGTATGACGGATCTAGTCATGATCCAATCATATCAACCTATCTCATCTCAGACGGCCCACAAGTTTCTCTACTGCTCATCTCAAAGTCAGCACTAAAGAACCTTATCGCGAAACTGCGTTTTAAATTTTAGAATTAATCAGAAATTAATCTTACCAGTATATGAGAATGACGTGACGTGAAACCAGTGGAAGAGTACTGACAGCAGGCGTCCAAGGATCTCCTCGGGCGTGTCAGGGTTCGGTGTACACAATCCGACCATCAACCACACACCATACCTTGTAAAGAATTGAGATCGATTGTAAGAGAATCAAAATGTTCATTATCTTTATTAAGCTTTAGAGTTGAATTTTAAACAACGTTAACTTTTATTTATAAAATCGATTGGGGCATAAGGGTGCCAGATCGTAAAAAATAAATGTATTTAGAAATACTAGTGATCCCGCAGTAGTCGAAATTCGACTATAATTAATTGGAATTGTAAGTTTGTACACTATTATCATTGTATTTTTATACTTCTATAAGACAAACAATATTCAATTTAATCTATTCTCAATTTGACAACAGACGTCAAGAACAAAAGTTTGACAATAAATAGTATGCATGAGTGTGTGCGTCAAATACATGGTATGTAGTGTGTGTAATTTTTTCTTTATTGATTTAATGTATCTTTTATGCATTATTTAAAAAAAATATTAGCATTGTGCACTTCTTCTCTATATTCTCTATAAGTGTGGAAATTTTCATACTCCTCCGTCCGCGCAATTTGCGTGAAAAGGGATACAATGTTTTTGCTTCACGTATTAATATATAGATAAAACAAATAAAAAACAATTTTAATAGCAAAACCTACTAGCAATTGATTTTATCTTTTTTTATCTTGTTGATACTGGTCAATTTATTAGAGCAAAGTTTTAAAACAATTGTAGTGTCATCGGTTTTTGATTCGTGAGCAAAATATATAGATATTTAATCGGACGTCTTAAAGTTAGTCATAATGTAAAATTTTTTTTGCTCATACTATTATGATAGGCTCTTAGCTTATACTTGCGCCAAGTTTATCAGTATAGTACCATTATCGTACAACAGATGGCACTAGTAGTTTCAGCAAACTTTCTTCATAAAATAATTACTCATCACAGCGGCCCATGGTCCTGGTTGACTTGTGCACTATATTTACAGAAACACTGTACAATATTAGAGCCTGTACCGACTTCTATTCGCGTGACCCAGAACTATATTAACACTCATTTTCTTAACCATTGAAGAAGCAGCGGTACGTGTAGCGACATCTATCCGCCATAATTGAAATCTCATCAAACCTTAATTAGTTTTTAATACAAATTGTTAGGAAAAACAATTTCTGATTGAATTTCTTCATTCGGTAATGTTTTTTTTTTATTGGCCTTATAGGCAGACGAGCATACGGCCCACATGATGGCGAGTGGTTACCGTCGCCCATGGACGTCAGCAACGCCAGGGGCAGAGCCAAGCCGCTGCCTACCGCTTAATACTCTCCACAAGTCTCGTTTGAAGAAGGACATGTCATAGCGCTCGGGAAACGCCGTGGAGGGGAAGCTCATTCCATAGCCGGATGGTACGTGGGAAAAAAGATCTCTGCAAACGCACTGTGGATGACCGCAGTGGCTCCAGGTAGTATGGATGAACTCTGCTCTGGTGGCGGGCGGTGCGGTGGTAAAAACGAGATGGTGGTATCATCTCAAGCAATTCCGCAGAGCACCCCCCAATGGAACATACAATGTTTTGTAAATGTTACAGATACCTGCCGAGGAGTTGCCTGTCCTCCACTGATATCGGGTCCGGTAGATCGACAGAAACCGGGGGCTTGGCTTGTTCTGAAGCGCTGTCTGGATCTTCCATATTTATTGGTTTTGCTTCTTTCAATAAACTGATAAGGAATTATGTATTAAGTTAACATCTTTCTTGTTTTATGTTTATTGTTTTTATAAAATGAAATGAAATATTTTTTTGACCTCTTTTTGATATTATTGACTTTTTGTACTATGAACGCTTATCAATTAGGTTTTGTAACATTTGAAAAAAGCCTTAAACAAAATTTCCTTTTACGATTTTAAGGCTATTATAGAATTTGTAAATGAAACCCGACTCCTATATAATCTCAAAATAATTCAAAAAACAAATTTTCGATAAACACATAAGACCATAATCTTTTTTTTTTTCGAGATTAAGTAAGATAATTAAGTTAAAGAGTTAAGTTGGAGCTAGGTTTCAATAGATAATATTCAATTCAAATTCAATATTTCTCTTCAGCTTAGACAACTCTAGTTTCGATATGGGTAAGTTAAATCCAAGTTTATTGCCCAAGGATCGGGCCACGTTGTATTTACCTATGATAATCTTTGAACTGTGTATCCTTCTGTGTGCTTAGTGCGAGTTTTTTAACGTTTTCGATAGCGTAAAAGTTAACTCAAATTTGTATGGAGTTGAAACAGCGCCCCTAGCGGTAAACGTAGACAAACGTTCCAACGTTAAAAATCTCGCACTAAGCAAACTGTTATTTTCTGTTGAAATACCTGCCAAGTTTTTTTTTCCTACCTATTCTGATAGCCTTGAGAGGCTATTTCAGCTTCGTCCTAACATGTAAGTGAGTTCACGGGGCTCAAACCTGACGACGTTGCTAACACGAACCCTAGCAAGAGCCGTGCTTCGCAGAATCTACCACCGGATCGGAAACGCCACCCACTGAGAAAATCCGGCGAGAAACTCAGTGGGATGGGCTAATTCGCTCGTAGAGCCCTTAGTCACAAGCGACGGGTTCGACGAGGACGGTGACCGGTGCTTGTGGTGCCTAAAAGCACCCAAGTATGTAATTCCCAGCGGTCACGACAAGAGGGTTCTCATGTCGTGCCGCCTTCACAAAGTGCTGGCTAGTTGATTACCAACTCAATTCATGTTAATTTTCGATGGTTTGAGGGTTACGGCGGTGTGGAGTGTGTACCATGTGTGCCATGTGTGCCATGAGAACAAACGAGTCCATTCTAAAGCAGCTAAGCATGAGAAAAAGGCTCTCTTCCATCTGCCGGGAACGTGTTATGAACTTCTTCGGACACATCATGCGGTCTCCCAGACATGAATTAGAGAAGCTCATAATTGCGGGTCGCATAGAGGGCAAGCGCGCCGTGGGCAGAACACCAGCCAGATGGTCAGATCTAGTAAGAGAAGCACTTGGTGGTAGTCTGTACCATGCGGTCCATGCCACCCATGATCGAACACAGTGGAAGAACGTCACATGTGGTCGCGATCATCAGTAGTGAGCGAACGATATAGGACAAGCGGTGTGTACCTGATAACAGCTTCAACCAGGTTGGTCTGCATGTCGGCGTCCATGTACCAGGCGCAGGGCAGCCGCGTGTGCAGCACGTGGTCGGAGCCGCGCCGACTGTTGTGACGGTTGCCGTGACATTGGCCGCAGTATCTGACATGTCAATCAGTTATAAAAGCTTCAAATTCTCCCTATAGTGACACCAACGGCCGTTTGGTGTAGTGGTAATAGAGTAATATCCCAGGGCCACCAGACGTCACGTATTTTCTGACGAACGAAATGTGACCAATTGCGTAGTGTTTGTATGTACTAAGAATGCATGCCTACCTGCTAGCTTGCTTAGACGGCCCACCATTTCCATCGATAATTTAATAACCAAAATATTCATGGCAAAACGCAAAACATATTTATTACATTCTCCACTTTGCCTATTATTTTCAATAAAAACATCATGTACCCATTTGTTACCCATTGTAACAATTTGGTGCTGGTGAAAATAAACCACGACTTCAATATCTTCATTGATTGATTGTTGTATTGTATCAAGCAATAAAGCAAAATAGGTATACAAAAAGGAAATTACGAAAAATCACACCCTGTATTTTCAAAAAAAACTTAACTTTGCGCTCCTAAAACGGATGTGATTGTAAATACTCAAATGACATTTGCATTAAGCAGCGTAGCATAGACTCAAATTCGATGATTGTATTTAATTTAGGGGCAGTATTATAGTTATACTACTCATAGCTAGTCAATTAAATTGTATGAAATGTATTTTTCTTAAACATTGTTTTCACAAAACTTTTAGTTCTCTTTTTGCTTGAAATCCTAGTTCTTTTCTAATCAATATTAATAGCAAGAGTATACGCCATATCAGCTTGTAACTTTACCGTATGCAATTGAAAGTTCTACCTGATAGGATGATTCCCATTATAACTTGCACATTCGTTAGAGAAACAAATTGAATAGGCCGCTTTATCTGCAGAGCGGCAGTTCTGTAACACAAACAATAAATTAGTTAAATAAGTGCTTTAAAGTTCTGCAAGGTTTATTAACTGTAGCGTTTACCAGTGGCAGAGCGTGTTTTAGACCCATGCTAGGTCTCTTTGTTCATTTGTTTTGCTTAGACGGGTGAACGATCTCACGGCTCGTCTGGAGATAAATGAATACCAGAGCCCATAGACATCAAAAACGTAAATACCACCACCCACCTTGAGACATCAATTCTACGTCTCAATTCCACTACAACAGCTTTCCTACCCTTCGAACCGAAATGCCTTATTGAATCGCGGCAAAAATATACTGTATGTTGGTATCCATCACTGATAGCTCATTGGACGCCCTACCACCAATAAAGCCAAAGGTTGGCCAATATTATAACGCAATTTAGAATCAGATTGTGGCGGATAACCATCATAGATCGCAAGATTTTGACAAATGCCTGAGTTTCTCGCCGAATCTTCTCAGTGGATCGCGTTTCCGATCCGGTGGTAGATTCTACGAAGCACGGCTCTCGCTAGGATTCGTGTTAGCAACGTGCTCAGGTTTGAACCCCGTGAGCTCACCTACTAGTTAAGGTTACGCTGATATAGTCTCTCTAGACCAATCAGCTGAGGTAGGAAGAAAAAAAACTCGCTTACGACATTTTCAAGATAAGTTCGCATATATACAACAACCGTAAAACAGTATTCGGATCGTCCATGTACTGAGCAATATCAACCGCTCGGTGGAAGATCTTCCCTTTGTCGTTAAACCTCCCAAAATATCTTCTATAGGTACTATCGCTCATGTTCAGAAGGCTACGTGCTTCAGTGGGTGATTTACTGTTTCCCCTCCCTATTTGCTGGAATCCTAGGGGGCTATTCCAGCTATTCCCTAACAGTGCTTACAACCCTAGTTACAGCCCTCTCTTTAAGTTACATCACTCTTAAATTCTTTCAAGAACTCCACAAATCTTGATAGGACTTCTCATGGTCAGTCAATCATTCATCAAAATATGACTCGGTTGTGAAGGAAACATAGACCTACCTTGTTCTCACAAACCATGGATACTTGTTGTTGAGGGTGCAGGATATCGAAGAAGCGCTGGTTTGGATGCTCCCTGAAAACAATAACAGTAAGATTAATGATTTATAAAGTTTATTTAAGTATATTCATTATGCAGTAACCCAAAATCTATTATAACATTGATTTGACGCATTGTTCTGCTAAGGCCGCATCTAAATCTCATTTTGTGTTCGTGTTGAACGATGCACCCACCGGTGTTCGAATCTCAGGCGGGTACCAATTTTTGTAGTGAAATATGTGCTCAACAAATGTTCACGATTGACTTTCACGGTGAAAAAATAACATCGTGTAATTAAAATTAAACCCGCAAAATTGTAATTTGCGTAATCACTGGTGGTAGGACCTCTCAAATATATTAAGTGTATAATCTATGGTAGGACCTCTTGTGAGTCCGCACCGGTAGGTAACACCGCCCCGCCTATTTCGGCCGTGAAGCAGTAATGCGTTTCGGTTTGAAGGGCGGGGCAGCCGTTGTAACTATAGTGAGACCTTAGAAGTTATATCTCAAGGTGGGTGGCGCATTTAGGTTGTAGATCTCTATGGGCTCCAGTAACCATTTAACATCAGGTGGGTTGTGAGCTCGTCCACCCGTATAAGCAATAAAAAAAAACTGATGAAACTTTATTATGTGTACAGATTTGAACAGTCACCTGTGTATCTCATTAGCGCACTCAATGCACAGGTACAGGGGCGGTGGGCTGTCTGATGCGAAGGTGACGCTGATGCAGTGGTCGTAGCAGACCTTGGCAGCCTCCGCCGTGCCCGCGTTGGGGCACATATCGCGCTGACATAGAAACGGCACCAAGTCATCTGCAAACAACCCCCTTCTGCAAACTCACAGGACGGTAATTCCTGAATCTTTACATTAATACGTGAAGCGAAAACTTCGTTCCACTATTTACGAAAATTGCGCGGACGGAGGAGTATAAAATTTCCCACACTTATAGAGAATATAGAGAAGGAGTGCAGAATGCTATTTTTTTTTAAATCAAGCATAATAAATAATACATTAAATCAATGATAACAACATTACGCACCCTACCATATCTCTTTGTTTATTGTCAAATTTTTGTTATTGCGCAAAGTCTGTGCTCAAATTAAAAAGTTAATATTGTGTATCTTTAATATTACTTACTTTAATAGAACCATAATAATCTTCAAATTTATAATTTCAATATATACTAATATTATAAAGCTGAAGAGTTTGTTTGTTTGAACGCGGTCATCTCAGGAACTACTGGTCCGTTTTGAAAAATTATTTCAGTGTTAGATAACCCATTTATTGAGAAAGACTATAGGCTATATATCGGCAAGGCCAATACAAGCGGAGCACCAATAAAGAATGTTTCAAAATAGGGGTTTACATAGCTCGTTAACATTATATAATTTAATTTTTTTTTCATATTCTACGTATAAATACGTCTGAAATGGGGATAAAATTTAGCGTTATGCCAAAGTAACTATTCCACGCGGACGGAGTCGCGGGCAAAAGCTAGTTAATTATAGTCGAATTTCGACTACAGCGGGACCACTTTTTTGTTTATTGCCCTTGTAGGCAGACGAGCATACGGCCCACCTGACGGTGAGTGGTTACCGTCACCCATGAGCTTCAGCAATGTCCGGGGCAGAGCCAAGCCGCTACCTACCGCTGCGGTACCTACCTACTATATTCATTAAAACATCAAAAATATTTCAGTCTTCGAAGAGTACAACGAAAAGCTCATACTAGAAAACTTGCAAAGCAGTCCCTTCCTGTCGAAGAGCTTGGCGTCGAAAGGGGGCCAGTAGTAGAAAAGTAGCTTCGCTGCGGACAGCCTCGCTCCCCACGTGCCGTAAGCGATCACGCACAGGATGTCTTTGACGACGGTCTGCTTCATCGACATCAGGCACTCCAGCAGCTGGCAGTGGTGGGCTGCAAGACAACCCTTCTGAATTACATCGTTAAGAGAGTATAACAATGTTACGCCGGTAAGAGTAGTGCCATCTATCGCCTAATAGTCGAACGAATAAGGATCTAGTAACACCCAGAACACTCGAGAAGTACAACGCCATCTATTGCCAGATAGCGGAAACAATACTAGACGGATCACTTGAAGCGAAGCGGAAGAAGCGAATTGAGAGTTTTAATGTGTTTATTGAGTGTTTTAAGTGTTGAATACAGTTTTTAGTTTATACTTCGGTGGAATTTTATTTATCCCAAGCCCCAGCGCGTAACAATTATAACTTTACAGGAACAAACAATCCTTAGTTAAAAACATAAGATTTGAATGACCTATTTTTCATAGATGTTGAGCGACCGATGTGCTTACGTACCATCTAAAGTTAAGTCATCCTAATGTGAATGTCTCCACTCAACCACTGACATGAGAGGTAGGGGTCTCAATTGCATTATAGACCTGATGATGGCACTTACCCATGCAGGCATGCTTTCAATGCCTTACAATAATTTACCTCATGCGGGCTCACAAGACGACTTGACCCATGCCAACATATACCTACCACCACCCTGCTTTTTTGGGCCACGAAGCAGTAATGCGTTGCGGTTTGAAGTTTGGGGTGTGGGCTTAGGTAAACACTTAAAACAAGACGGGCCGTTCACCATAAAACAAATACTAAATCTAATTCAATGGATAATAGTAATTGAATTAACATTAGTATCATGAGTGAATGTTTCCTGCTGTTTTTAAAAGGATGTGAATGAATCTTGAACCTGGATTACTGGAGTGCTGGAACACCATCATGACAATGGCAGCGACAGATTGTGAAGCTTGACTTTCATCTTCTTGGCCCGAATAACGGCGAGCTACGAATAAAAAAGAAGTACTTACTAATCCGCGAAATGTTCAGTAGTCCTTAGTCACGTGGAGACAATGTTTACTACAATCAAGAGATATATGCCACACAACAGAACGTAATAGAAGATGTGCAATTAATAAATAAATAATTTACCCAACGTCTACCCAACCTCAATAATGAAGCAGCGCACCTCACATTTTTTTTATTGGCCTTGTAGTCAGACGAGCATACGGCCCACCTGATGGTGAATGGTTACCGTCGCCCATGGACTTCAGCAATGCCAGGGGCAGAGCCAAGCCGCTGCCTACCGCTTAATATTCTCTACAAGCCTCGTTTGAAGAAGGACATGTCATAGCGCTCGGGAAACACTGTGGAGGGGAGCTCATTCCATAGCCGAATGGTACGTGGCAAAAAAGACCTCTGGAAACGCACTGTGGATGACCGAAGTGGCTCCAGGTAGTATGGATGAATTCTACTCCGGGGCGAGCGGTGCGATGGTAAAAACGAGATGATGGTATCATCTCGAACAATTCCTCAGTGCACTTTATTCTTTTTAATTAAACGGTCTGCTTAACTATCAACAAAATGGTTCACAGATATACAAATACTTACTGATAGTAAATGGAAGTATGTAATAGCACAGGAGATTCAGGATCTCCTGGTGCAGCGCTACCGGGAATACTGCAACGCAGTACGCCACTAGGTACGGTAGGTTGTCTATCATGTCGTATTCCAGGAATGGGAGTAGGCAGCCCAAACATTGAAGAACTGCCTGGCCGAATGCTGAAATAAAAATTTACATTACATTTATAACTTTAATTTATGTTTGTTTGAGAGATCGGCATTTTTAAACGAAACACGTTTGAATATATTTCCTAAATAAATAATAGTTTAAAAAAAACTAACAAAATACGCTTTCATAGAAAATTCAACTAAAAAATAGAAAATAAATTTTAATAAATTTTAATTAAAAATAGTGTAAGAAAAAATTATTTTATTGTAAAAAAGCGTGGGGTGCATGGCTTCAGTAGTTATAATAAATATTTTATGAACAGATATGAGTAGAATGGTTATTTTGATAATATCCTGAGAAGAGAATATTAATTTATTAGTTGAATTTCAATTTTTTTCAATTATTTTTTTTATATTGAATTGTCATCAGTCCTTAATAAGTATACCAACTTTCGAGTTAATCCGACGTTTTGAAGAGGGTCGAAATCATGTTCAAAGATTCCGTTACAAACATACATACATACATACGTCTGAAGCTAATAATAAAAGCGTATTGAAAACGGATGTGATCTAATTTAAGGCGATTCGAACTGTGTAGTGAATTGAGAGAGCTTGAGGTGTAACACCCAAAGACAATCTACTGAGTTTCTCGTTGGATCTAATCATTGGGTGGTTATTTCGATCCAGTGATAGATTCAGTGAGGTACTGTTCTTACTAGGGTAGATATTAGCAATGCCACTTAAGTTGAGCCCCGTGAGCTCACCACTACTCACGCTGAAACCAGAATACTCCCTCGAGGCTACTCAAGAGGTAGGGAAAAGTTGTAAATTCAATGATAGTCATATTTAAAATGCAATTCCAGATGCAGGTCTTTGCTGACTATTTAGAGGAAAAAAGAGAAGTTTTTTTTAATATATATACGGAAGAAAGCGGAATTGTCGTACTTTGAAAAACCAAGTTGACACCAGAGTCAAGTAGGCAGCGGCTTGGCTCTGCCCCTGGCATTGCTGAAGTCTATGGGCGACGGTAACCACTCACCATCAGGTGGGTCGTATGGCCGTATACAAGGGCAATAAAAAAAAGTCATATGCATAATATATAATACGGTAATAAGTGATTTAGCTCAAAATGCAAGTTACGATATTTTCGCTTTCTCCCGTCAATATGTTGAATATTACCTTGAATCCCATATTGTAAGTGAGGCGCGGAATCCACAAGTTGCGATATAGCGTTAAACAGCCCCTTGTAGTCCAAATTAGGGTACAGAGACATTCGCTCTGCGTCGTTGGCTGGATCCCTGATCAACTCCAGCGGAGAGCGTGTTACATCCTTCAGTACACCTGGTTCACGGAGCAAGAATGAGAATCGTATTTTTTTATTATCTTTTTATTGCTTATATGGGTGGAAGAGCTCACAGCCCACCTGGTGTTAAGTGGTTACTGGAGCCCATAGACATCTACAACGTAAATGCGCCACCCACCTTGAGATAAGTTCTAAAGTTTCAAGTATAGTTACAACGGCTGCCCTGCCCTTCAAGCCGAAACTCATTACTGCTTCACGGCAGAAATAGGCAGGGTGGTATATAAGTAAACTACATAAATAACCGTAACAGATACATTAGAGAATTTTTTTTGTTTTGTTCTTGTTTTTATGATTTAAGGATCACTGGTGGCCCGGAGACCTTTCCAGTTTCTCCAGGACAGGTGGGCGAGCAAAGGCTCAGCCAGGAGGGGTGGGATTAATTAATAAAGAGACTATTACAGGAAGTTTCAAATTAATATATCCAATTGCTTTAGTTACACCGGCTTAAGGCTCTACTGTAACAAAAATTCCTTACTTACATTACAGAAATATGTACTCAATTTGCTTACTTAATTAATAGTATATTTACAGTTTAATGTCGCTTATCTTGTTCTCAATACACATTATTTCCATATTGTCGAACGTTGTCACGGGAAACTTACTTAGTAAAGTTTGGGAAAAATACTTGACGGTGTTAGCGATATCCACGCCAGAGGGCAGTGGCTGGATGTTATGCATCAGCCGCAACTGGCAGTCGTACAAGCTGCGGATCTTCGCTGTGACTGTGGGCATCAACGAAAAAAAAAAACAATTACGCTTTGACTAGACCAGGGGTTCCCAAACTTGTTTTGTATACTGCCTACTTCGAGAATAAATATTTTTTAGCGCCCCTATATTTTTCATCTACTTAAAAACCACTATAGCGAGGGCTTAGTCGGTGCCTAAGAGTCCTCCTAGATGATAACGCCCCCATTTTTTTCTGGGTCTCTTACCGCCCCCCTTTAAGCCTGCAGCGCCTATAAGGGGGCGTTATCGCCCACTTTGGGAAAGGCTAGACTAGACAAATATTTAGTAAATAGTTAATCGGATTATCCAAAAACGAAAATCAGAAATTCGTTAGTTACACTAAAATTTTTTTTTTAGATCGAGAATATTCTATTTTTGTGCAATCAGCATAATTTGAAATTAAATAAATGCAGAATCACCATGTCGTAATATCCATTGAGGCTATTAAAATTGAAAATAAATTAATGTACTCTAAATTATAAAGCATATTGAAATTGTTCAATAATTAGCATCGAATTTTGGTGATAGTAAAATTCTAGGTCTTTCACGCATCGACTTATCGAAACAGAAAGTGCACATTAAGCTATGAAAAAAATTAAAGCTAATAAAATGAGTGAACAAACTAATAGGCACACAACAAAGAAGCGTTTGAAACAGCATAGACAAAGTCTGAAAGAAAGGTGAGCCTCACAAACAAGAAACTGATTCTGCATAACTTTTCCAAAACATTTTTTTTTTTTTATTAACACCATCAATATACCATAAGAGTGTGCGAATTAGCAGCAATAAGACACCGACCCATTAAATTTTACATATATGTATGTCACATATAGCATCAGAGCTTTAAACTGCCCAGTGTCGAACCTATAAGTAGCGACGGCTTTTTTTTTTTATAGCTTAGATGGATGGACGAGCTCACAGCCCACCTGGTGTTAGGTGGTTACTGTAGCCCATAGACATCTACAACGTAAATGCGCCACCCACCTCGAGATATTACCCCACCCTTCGAACCGAAACGCATTACTGCTTCACAGCGGAAATAGGCGGGGTGGTGGTACCTACCCGTGCGGACTCCCAAGAGGTCGTACCACCAGTGATTACGCAAATTATAATTTTGCGGGTTTGATTTTTGTCATAGAGTAGGAGATACATATAATAGAACCTGAATTGCGCTAATAACGTTTACAAGGGCTTCTAACTACATGTGCTGAAGCACAGATTTGGACCATCGGTCAACCCGAGCACTTACACCCGCTCGATAGAAAGACCCCATCCTTCCTGTTCCAATAACAAGATTCACGTAGTTTTTTTTCTCGACAATAAAGACCCCACAGAACCATTCTCGAGAAGACAATTTTGTAGACTAACAGCTAAGAGTCAGTCATTGAGAGTTCAGTTGAAGACTCAGAAGTCGTCGTGGCCTAACGGATAAGACGTCCGGTGCATTCGTATTGAGCGATGCACCGGTGTTCGAATCTCAGGCGGGTACCAATTTTTCTAATGAAATACGTACTTAACAAATGTTCACGATTGACTTCCACGGTGAAGGAATAACATCGTGTAATAAAAATGAAACCCGCAAAATTATAATTTGCGTAGTTACTGGTGGTAGGACCTCTTGTGAGTCCGCGCGGGTGGGTACCACCACCCTGCCTATTTCTACCGTGAAGCAGTAATGCGTTTCGGTTTGAAGGGTGGGGCAGCCGTTGTAACTATACGTGAGACCTTAGAACTTATATCTCAAGATGGGTGGCGCATTTACGTTGTGGATGTCTATGGGCTCCAGTAACCACTTAACACCAGGTGGGCTGTGAGGTCGTCCACCCATATAACAAATAAAAATAAAAAGACTAAATATTTTTTATAATTTTTCGGGTTTGATTTTTATTACCACGATGTTATTCCTTCACCGAGGAAACCAATCGTGAACATTCTGCTAAGTACGTATTTCATTAGAAAAATTAGTTCCCGCCTGCGGGATTGGAACACCGGTGCATCGCTCGATTTTTTTTTTTTTATGATTGAGAGATTACTGGTGGCCCGAAGGCCTTTCCAGTTTCACCAGGACAGGTGGGCGAGCAAAGGCTCAGCCAGGAGGGGTGGGATTTGCGCATCGCTCGATACGAATGCACCGGACGTCTTATCCTTTAGGCCACGACGACTTCAATACCAACTTTTTCGTCTTAATTCTCGTTGAAAACTTTAAGAGACAACTCTGAGCGTCTAATTTTAATTCCGGCCATCAGTCAATTCACTTTTAGACACAAAAATCCGGAGTTCAGCATTTTAATAGATTTTGTATACATTAATCTTTTTTTATCTAGATTAATTGTTGACAAACACATAAAGCAAGTTCGGAGCACCAAGCCCAACAATAAATACGCAATGTCTAAAAACAACACATTATACATATTAACACAATAGACATTTACTACATAAAGAGATAAATAAAGGCTCTGTCAAGAATTTGCTCTATTCACCTCTCACTCATATACTTAATGAGTGAGTGAGAGGAGAACAAAATTCCTAATCTCCTTTTTTATCTTCAGAAGTATATTTTACAAATAAACAAGTCAGCAGAATCATAATAACAGTATTTGAAGGCTAACAACATTTAGGGCCCGGACACACAGTAGGATGCGACTAGTATCAGACAATACAAGGGAATATTTAAGTAACATCAAACGAAGACGAATAAGACAATCTTTTTGACAATTTAGGGTTACCATCTGTGAATTTTTCTTTTGCCTACAAAATATGTTTTCAGTTTAGATAATTCTTTAGAATGAAGTATTTTTGCTTTTAAAGCATTTTTATGTTCGAGGATATTACGTCAGATATTTTATAGAAAAAAATATGAAATATATATTGCATTGTTAATTATCTCCACGACTCGCGAAAACCGTAGAAGATAATGTAATAAACATTGAGTCTAAATTCTACAAATACAGTATGATTGAGATCACAGTTTAAACTTCAAATTTCAATTTTAAATTTAAATTTTTTTTATCACACTGAAGCTTTATGATAAATATTATCATTATCCATATTTTATTTAAATTTAAGGTAAATAGAAAACTACGTAGTTCCAATGGAAAACATTAACTTTGAAAATTAGATTCGATAGTCAATATATTTTTTTAGTGTAGAATGTTAATGGCAGAGATGGCAACCCTAGAGGACAGAAGCATATCGTGCACAGGGTAACACCAGTGCAACATCGAACACCGCTCGCTTGCACGAGCTCACCTTTCTGACCCAGTGCCTCCGAAGCTGACTGCATATTGTCAGTCTGTGCGCTCAGCATTAGGACACACAAAAAGCTTTCTCACTACTCAATGATCCCCGATGAGCTCTGAAAAATAATGCATGCACGCAATTTGTTTTTTTTTATTTTGTTTTTTTTTTGCTTAGATGTGTGGACGAGCTCACAGCCCACCTGGTGTTAAGTGGTTACTGGAGCCCATAGACATTTACAACGTAAATGCGCCACCCACCTTGAGATATAAGTTCTAAGGTCTCAGTATAGTTACAACGGCTGCCCCACCCTTCAAATCGAAACACATTACTGCTTCACGGCAGAAACAGACAGGGTGGTGGTGCCTACCCGCGCGGATTCACAAGAGGTCCTACCACCAGTAAAATGCATGCACGCAATTTGTTTTATAATTACATTTTATTCGCCACATACACTGGAATGCGGTGGGCGGTTTGTTATTGTTATACTGAGATTTTCATTAGACACTAAAATTTAATTTACGATTTAATTGGCTATTTTATTCAATATTTCTTCGATAAAAATCTAAATACATTTTAGATTATGCATTTATAGTTTTCTATTTTATGTTTATGGTGCACTTGAAGCATACTATTTAAGACCCGTTTTAGAAAAGAATTTTTTTTACATGTATGGCCGATGCTGAAATTTTATTTATATATACACTTTTTTTTCTATACAAATTGACAAAGCAAGTAATTTTTTAATTTTTTTATTAAAAAGCAACAAATCTGTTTGATTCAACAAGTATTAGCGATATGAGTGAGACAGATACATGTATGCGTTCTTTGCAAAATGTAGCCACGTTAAATGTTTATTTATAATAAACTTTTAATAACCAACCCACTACATTCGACTACTTGCGAGCGGTTAATTAAAGTAACTTGCTATTAATGGGACTTACAAGCCGCCGCCCGCGTTCCCATGTTTATGAGTTGTATCTTGAAACTTCCCTGCATTGGATTGCCGGAATACACAAACCGATATCATGAAAACGGTGAATCAATAAAGGTAAAGCCTTGAACCGAACGAAAGAGATAAGACCTGAATCTAGATTTTCTATTCTTTTCAAACTATTGATCGGAAACCAAATGGACCGGCTCAAAGCGTAACGCGCATGTCCGTACTATGGGATCTTTTTTGCTATGGCAACCTCCTGCAATCTCATCAAACTCTGCCGGTGTCCGTTCTATGTAACTTTACTCTTTGGCAGCTAGAGATGAAATGTCAAACTACATAAATGTCACAATAAGTAAACTAGTGACCGAAATTCGAACCGTAATTAATTGTAGTTATAAGTTTATACATTATTAGGTTCTGTTGTCAAATACTATACTTCTATAATCACAGATTTCGCCAAGGATACACTATAAACAAATAATATTAAAGACCAACAATATTAATCTATTCTCAATTACACCATAGACTTTATTCATCTATTCTGAATTTGACCACACACTTTAACAATAAACAAAAGAGTATATAAGTAGTTATGTACGTGTGTGTGTCGAATACATGGGAGTGTGTGTAAAATTTTTTTTTATTGATTTAATTTTTATGTACAATTTTAGAAAAATATTGGGATTCTGCATTATTTGTCTATATTCTCTATAAGTGTGGGAAATCTCATACTCTTCCGTCCGCGCAAATTTCGTAAAAAGGGGTACAAAGTTTTTAATTCACTTATTAATATATACATTTACCGTCCTGTGTTCGGATAAGAATGGAGAAAGTTTTTTATGCTTTCTGGTGGCCCTGGAGCCTATTTAATTTCACAAGGACAGGTGGGCGAGCAAGGGCTCAGCCAGAAGGGGCGGGATTTGCTAATAGCTACCCGAGCGCCTCCAAGGGAGAAACTCAACGGGCTGATGCTTAGGTTAGGTTGCACGTCGAACTCTTTGCCGAGTTCGACGAGTACGGTTACCGGGGTCTCTACTCCTAGTGTTAGAGCGGAAGGCGTCTAATGCAAGTGGAGAAAAGTATGATGGTTGCATTGATCGGAACGCTTTGATGACACTTAAGCGCATCAAGGTTAAATGTTTTGTTCGACTCCTTGATTACGGCTTAGCGGTAATTAATAAATGCATACGATATGTATAGCATTTTTTGGCGACAGTTTGTTTTTGTCGTTTGATTAATGTTTGAAACAGATTACTATTGAGATATAAGTTCTAAGGTCTCAGTATAGTTACATAATGCGATATTCTTCAACGTACCGACACATTTCTGTTACAATTTACAATAGATAGGCAGATAAGTTTGAGTCGAGCACTAGACGCTTGGTAAGAATAAAAATTAAGGTGCTAAGAAGCTAATTTTAATAGTACTAATGTCAAAGCGATTTCACGCATTCCACTCATTTATGAGGTCAGAGATCATTTAACCACGTATGTACATACCTCCTGTAGTTTTTATGTACATAAATAATAACTTGGCGTGTTCCCACCAGTGACCGAGATTTATAATTCTATACTAGAATGAGAGTATGAGATAAGGATACGATCAGAAAGTACACGGTGTTAATTTGGTAAAATTTATTTGCAAACCACATATATAAATACTCGCATTAGCGCCATGAATATTCATATCACAATGTACCTAATTCTAACCTATTATACACCCAAATCACAGTTAGTTACATCTATAAAAAATACAAACGCAAAAAATATCACCGTTCTTATTTAAGTCCGAAACTCGAACGAATAGATAGCGCGAGTCTACAATACAGTTTGTTGACTTGTATACTGGCATTGAAACGGAATGGCAGCCAATTATGTCATGGACGATCCATCGCGCCGACCAGCGCTTGCTGAATGACAAGTTGCTGCGCGTTTATTAGCTTCTTCAATTCCTTGACTTCCTGTGTCAATTGTCTGACGTGTTCCGATGTCTCGTCGAGTCTGGCGTGGATGCTTCCGAGTCCTGAGTAACCGTATTCTCGGTACCCGGAGTCGTTATTGCTCTCGTACTTTTTGAAGCATGAATAGGCGCCCGTTGTCGAACCGCTCGATGATATAGTGTGCCCGTATTGCTTCCGCATCTTTGCGATATCGTAAGCGGCCATCATTATGTCCCTCGGCAGTCTCTTCTCGCTTGGGTTCAACGGTTTCACGCTCAGCACAACCCTGTAGGCCTGGGGCGAAACCAAAGCTGAAGAATGTAGTATCTTTAGTAGACATTTCGGTAAATATCCATTGAACAACGCCAATTCCATGTAAGATATCAGTTTGGTTTGACGGACCAGCTTTGAAAGGCCTGCGGTTTTCCTCAAACCCTGAATATCGTGGACTGCTATGCCGACCAGTAAATTCATCAATACGACCGTAACAAACATTAGGAATAACACGTAGGTTATCTGCGCAGAAAACTCGAGCAAGACAGGAGGGTCGTTTCCATCTGGCTCGTTGAGTAGTAAATCTAAATTTAGCTCCCCGATCATCATTGTCAAGACGGTTATGAAGCCCATAAACGGATTCGCAAACGAGGACGAGTCCGGGAAGATAACGCAGAAACTTATCGTGAAACCGATTAGGATACACGAATAGGCCATAAGCAATTTGGCAAATTCCTTTTGTACTTTTTGGTACATCGCGACGTACGTGCCGAAAACGGGTAGCTGTCCGATCATCATCATTAGGTTCGTCCACCCAGCGAGCACCGCGAAGGCGCCGACGTGGTTCTGCCATGTATACGTGATATTTGTGTATATATACGAAATTAGGAAAACACTAATGATCACGAACCACTCAATAATGTTCTCCGATTGCATCAAGTATTGTTTGACGGTCGAATATCCAGCGATCCCGTATACCTTCCTAAATATCTCAAATATCGTTATCCCGGCTAGAACCCACCATTGCATTTCAATTACGAATGGATTTTTCCTTAATAGGTCACCAAGGATGGATTGCTTCTGACACAACTCCTGCTCTTGTATTGTCTCCTCCATATCCTTGCTACCGTTATAACAATTGTGCGCGAGTGCTGTTAATACATACAATGTGAGGCATAAAACAAAAATAAAACTCAAAAATAACCTTGCCACATAATATTTACGTATTTTCTCCCATTTAATGTACAGAAAGGCCGAGCATAGTGGGTGAAGTAGGACTTCTTTTTGGCCTTCGTCGACGAACGTATTCAAATAGCTGATCTCTCGCGGATAACAATGCTGCAATATGCTACGAAAATCAAGCTCCAATTCAACTTCTCTATTGCTCGACTGCGAGTGATGTAGAGTAATAGCGCAGTCCAATTTTCTAGTTACCATCGCGAGTGAAGCGGGCGTTTTTCTAGCGATTACATTAAGAGCCGAGTTTCCCTTCTTAGATCTCGTTGTGACGTCAGCACCGTGATATATCAAGGTCTCCACGCAGGCCGACAGTCCGTCAAGTGCGGCTAGGTGCAGTGGAGTAAATCCGTATTCATCTTTTTGGTTTACGTTGGCGCCCCAACTGATTAAGGTTTCGATGATATCACAAGCGGAATCCGATTTTCCAATAGCTGCATGTAACGGTGTTCGTTTATCAAAATCCATAGCGTTGGGGTCGGCATTGCCTTTCCGGAGCAAGGATTCCACGCATTCTAAACTCGCAGACCGAGCTGCCAAATGTAACGCTGTGAACCCTCTATGATTCTTCAAACTCGCATCGGCACCTTTGCTGAGTAACAAATCGACACACTCAACAAAGCCACCGTCGGCGGCTAAATGCAAAGCGGTGGATTCTCTGTCCCCTACTCTTGTTCTAACATTAGGGTCGGCTCCGGGCGTGTCAAGCAATATTATAAGACACTGTTTAACGCCCAAATCAGCGGCGAGGTGAATGGCATTAGTACCGCCCGGCTCGATCAAGTTCACGTCAACTCCGTGCGATATAAACAATTTGAGGCACTCCGCGGAATTAGCTCGCACCGCACAGTGAAGGAGACCTCCTTCGCAATTGATGTACTTTACAGCCGCGTGCACGGACGCACCGCGAGCTATTAGCAAATTAGCCACTTGTACCGAGTTACCGAATGCGGCACAGTGAAGCGGCGCAAAACACCGGGGCATATAATTAGGGTCCGCGCCGCACGACAGCAGATAACTGGCGCATTCTACGGAACCACTGAACGCGGCCACGTGCAGCGGAGACAGGCCCAGAGAGTCGTAGTACAGGGGGTCCGCCCCAACCTCAATCAGCGGTGGTAGCAAGTTGGCGAGTTTCAAAAACGCGGTCCAAAATAAGCAGACGTTCTTTTCGGCGTCGGTGGCGGTGGCGAAGGCGTCAGTCGTCGCGTCAGCTGGAATTACTCCGCTCTCGAGCTCATCAAGGAGGCGCAACCGCCCGCCGACGGCTCGCATTTGCTCGTGGGCGCTCTGACGCAGTGAGTCGGCACAGATGTGCGCGGTCAGGTCCAGAGGTGGCTCCTCGAAGCTGTCGTACATATTGGGTGCGCTCTCGGCCGGCGGCGAGGAGCCGGCCAGCACGTACTCGAGGTGCCCCATGGAGGGGTAGGCGCGCTCGAGGGACTCGTGGTCGGGCAGGTCCCGCCCGCGCCGGTCCGCGGGCCGCGGCTCATCGGGCGCGCGAGCTCGCAACCACCGCGCGGGCAACAGACGACGCGTGTTCGGCATGCGGCTAGTGGCGACACACTGCTCTCCGGACTCCGCCGCTATTGTGCTTCTTCCGTCAATTACGAGATGAATCGTGCGCACCTTGTCATCATCGTTGTTAGGCCGCTCGTACACTTGACAATGGACATTAAATTTCACAGAAATACAAGCGCTTAAAATGCAGTTCAATTCTGCTGCTGATTCAGATTCGTGCTGACGAGTTAATTTTATAACATATTTATATTTATATAATGAGTTTGGTAAGAAAATGTTAACTATGAATGTGGAAGGATATAGAAGAAGAGGTAGACCTTAAAAGAAATGGATGGATTGCGTGAAAGACGATATGGGTAAGGGGGGAGTGAGCGAAGAAATGGTATATGATAGAAGAGTATGGAAGGAGAAAACATGTTGCGCCGACCCCGGGTAACTGGGAGAAGGGCAGGATAATGATGATGATGATTTATATAGTACATTTAACTTTTAGCTTGAAATTGTTCCACGCTCCAAAAACATTTTCACTATATGCTTAGAATTTAATGTCTCAGATCGTAATACTCTCCAAATTCAGTCAACCTTGCAAAATGCTCGTGTTTTGATTGCACCATTGTATCTATTCTGTGCATGTGCATATTTTGCATTTATTCACTGCATAATACAGTCCAGTATTTACTAACATTCTGTGATGAGATCATTTCTGTCTGTAAAAAGGCTAATCGTTTCATTCAAAGCTCTGACGTCACTGTAAGCCATAACATACCGGATTTCTAATGGTAGGTAAATTTAAACGAACAAAATCACTTGTAGGTTTTTATGCTTACAAAGTAACGCTTACATTACCATTTGTTTATATATTTATTCATGAATATTATGTTTTCGCTCAGATTGTAAACTCACAGTCATATCTTAAGAGTTGTGATTGTTATACTTGAAGGCGTAGTTCTTCGCGGTAGAAATAAGCAGGATTCTCTTAATTAATACGCTTTTATTAGCTTCAGACGTATGTATGTATTTATAACTACTGATACCATGCTCCCCACGCTTTTCTAAATTAATATAATAAAGAGAAAAGATGTTTTTTTTATTGCTTAGATGTGTGGACGAGCTCACAGCCCACCTGGTGTTAAGTGGTTACTGGAGCCCATAGACATCTACAACGTAAATGCGCCACACACCTTGAGATATAAGTTCTAAGGTCTCAGTATAGTTACAACGGCTGCCCCACCCTTCAAACCGAAACGCATTACTGCTTCACGGCAGAAACAGGAGGGGCGGTGGTACCTACCCGTGCGGACTCACAAGAGGTCCTACCACTAAAAAAGTTTGTTTGTATTGAATAGGCTCCGAAACGACTGAACCGATTAGAAAAATTATTTTACTGTTTGGAAGCTACACTATTCCCGAGTGACATAGGCTATAGTCTTTTTTGAAAAAAATAATATCCTTACTAAAACTCCAATAATGTAACCCAAGGTTTAAAAAAATTACCTAAAATATTCTTTAAATCGCGTGCCCTGCGAAAACTGTTGATGATAGAATAAAAGAACGTACTACGACTTTGTAGAACACATTATTATTTACAAAAAGTGTCGCCACAGCATATTTCTAAATATTATAGTTATGCTGCAATAAGTGTTATTTTATTTAAAAAAATTAAAAACAACGTCAAATGTCGTTGAAATTTTTGTTTAAGACCCGAGCGGAGCCGGAGCGGGCCGCTAGTTTTACAATAAAATCTTTTTTTTACACTATTTTTAATTCAAATTCATTAAAATTTATTTTCTATTTTTTAGTTGGATTTTCTATAAAAGCGTATTTTGTTAGTTTTTTTAAACAATTATTTTTTCTTCTAATCTTAATTTTGTCGATAAATTCAAAGCAAAAGTAAAATTGACCTTTAAACAGTATTGTACTGAAATTAGATGTCACGGGTTTTTTATGTACCGCCTACACACCCTGTCCGACGGAGTCCGTCATGGGATTGGTCGCGGGTGATATTACCGATTCACTTAGTTTCCGGTCTATACAAAATTGATTTAGCGGAATTCAAACTTGTTTACACCATTGTATGGTAATCAGAAGGACGTTCGAGGGAAAACCTTGCGCTTGACTGTGGGAATGTACATAATATATTTACTGCGTTTTTATTCTTTGTTATGTTTAAGATATCTATCTCAAAGAGATCGTCTTCCATTATTAATGGCCATTAGTTGCAAAGAAAAAAAACTCGATAAGGTGCGTTAGACAACACACAATTATGTTGTTAACAAATTAAAATATTTAGGCTGACATGATTCTGACATGAAGTTTAAAAAAGATAAGCAATGGAAAAACACAAATCACGTGGATCACGAAATTCCAAAAGATCCAGAGGGAGATGGGCCTACGAAGGGAGACGCTTAAGAACGAGACAAATGGCGATACAAATTTTTGGGGAAGACCAACACTTCGCAACGGTATAATGTCAGGCCAAAGAAAGCGTGCGGATAAACTTCGTCATAACAATCATTTTCATCAGTCCAAAAGACTTCCATTACCAGAGATAGACTTTTCCTTAAGTTCGACATATCGCCTCCCCAAGTCCTCAGATCTATGGGCGTTTCCACGAACAATTTACTTCATCCCTACCACTTAAATATATGTGATTACCTTCTGGCGACAGCCACATACCACAGCACCATACCATTATGGCTTTCTTAGTCATATTCGTATATGTGTTTAAAGGGCTTAAGTTCGGCACTCACAGTGTGCTTATAGCTTGGCTGTGACCCTAGAATTGTTAATCTTCAAGAGAAACTTAAAAGAATATTGCTTTCCCTAACAATAAAAGTCGCGTGATGATTTCTTTATTTAGCCACTGTCCCCGGCTCACTTTTGTCGTGAAGAAATCGCCCTGACCAGTTGAGATGGTCTTAATTGTTGGTACATCAACACTTAGCTGTCCAATGTGCTCAAAGCCTGCAAACACAGTAGCAAATCCGCCGATGACGTCTGACATTGAAGGACTGACTCGGTGGTGTAGTGTTAGCGCCTCCGACCGTTGCGCCGAGGGTCGTGGGTTCGATTCCCACGTCAAGCAAATTTTGTATGATGAACAGGCTTGCTCTTAGTTTGGGTGTTGATTGTCTATAAGGGGTGACGCTATTTGGTTTTCACCACTCGATATGTACATATTATATTTAAACGTATATAAGTATTGTTACGCGCTGGGGTTCGGTATAAATAAAAAATTCTCAAGTCACTCCTTCTGCTTCGCTTCAGGTGAGCCGATCGCTGTTTCGCTTCGATTAGTTCCGATTACTGACTACTTCGTGCTATATTCGCAACGCTTTTATAGTCGAGATGACATCCCTAGGTTTACCGAGAACATTCTGAGCAAGTCGAGTAGCTTCGATGTGTTTCCGCTATCTGACAATAGATGGCGTTGTACTTCTCGATCTTTTCGAGTTCGTTTGATATTCGTTTCGGCTATTCGGCGATAGATGGCGTTACTCTTACCAGCTTAACAGTATATTTGTCAGTCTCGGGTACCCACAACGCAGGAAATCCTAAATTGAGCCCGAATGGCCGTGCGTGATTTGTTCCTAGTTATTTATATGATTTATAGTTATTTAGAATAAGATTAATCGAATAAGAATAATATTGAGGACTGAAAGATACGACAGAAGCCCTACTTTTCAAATCGGAGCTATCGGCTAATTTGCGGAAATAATCTAAAGAAGTTGAAGTTTGAAGTCGTCGTGGCCTAAAGGATAAGACGTTCGGTGCATTCGTATCTAGCGATGCACCGGTGTTCGATTCCCGCAGGCGGGTACCAATTTTTGTAATGAAATACGCACTTAACAAATGTTCACGATTGACTTCCACGGTGAAGGAATAACATCCTGTAATAAAAATCAAACCCGCAAAATTATAATTTACGTAATTACTGGTGATAGGACCTCTTGAGTCCGCACGAGTAGGTACCACTACCCTGCCTATTTCTGCCGTGAAGCAGTAATGCGTTTCGATTTGAAGGGTGGGGTAGCCGTTGTAACTTTACTGAGACCTTAGAACATATCTCAAGGTGGGTGGCACATTTACGTTGTAGATGTCTATGGGCTCCAGTAACGACTTAACACCAGGTGGGCTGTGAGCTCATCCACCCATCTAAGCAATAAAAAAAAAATTAAAAAAGTGAGGTAGCTATAATCTTTGAACAGTAAACATAAAAGTTGCAAAATAAACAAACAGTTATAGGTACTTGAAATTTTATTGTTACACAATCTTTTCCACTTATAAATATAGACAATGTACACGAAGTTCCATATATTAACCGTAGACTACAAAACTTATACGGATGATCGAATATTAATTTTATGTTAGGCGTATTCGAAAATAATATTATAATGATGGTTAATTATCAAATGCGAAAATTATCTTGTCATACTTCAATCCAGAATGCACCATTAAATAAGTTCTGAAACTTCTTTCTAGTCGATTACGTGCAAACATTTCGCGCCATTTTTACCGCCATTTTGATTTTGCATAGATTCATTTTGTAGTTTGTTTTTTGTAAATATGATTAATTTACGCATTTAATAATCAAGAAAAAACGTGTTAGGGTGATGTAATAAAGATAAAATATGTATTTTCAATTTACATGTAAAGTATAATCATAAAGAATTTTTGGATTACATTATTAAAAGCTAATCACTATTAAAGCTAACAATTAACACTTATTTAAACATAAATTAATATCTATGTACAAAATATTACATGTAAAATTACGGAAACACAGTTTTTGAAACGAAATTTTGCATATTTCGATCCTTAAATATTGAAAAAAAAAACTTTATTATTACTTGGTATTGTTTAAGTAAAATTGATGCTTAAATGGCACAGAGACCGAAATTAAAATAAAATTGTCATAAAACAAATCAATAACACCGTAGATTAAAAATATTCGAACAAATATGACAAGCTCGTTCCCGTTCCAATTGCAAGCGAGCCGAGCCGAACCGAGTCGAGCCGAGCCGAACCGATCCGAGCCGAGCCGAGCCGAACCGAGCCGAGGCAAGCCGAGCCGACCGAACGGATCGCCGCGGTGAGTGAGCGAGAGAACAAAAGCGTGCAGTGGCCGACTCAGGACCAGGCTGAGTCGCCGAGACGTTTTGAGATATGCGAACTCACGTGCAGACACACAACGCGATAGTGCCCTACCGCGCGGCTGCCAGCGGAGCTATAACGCAGCTATCACTAGTCTATGTTAATTAGCTATAACGCGTATCTAGTTTAATATTAGTAGAAGTGTATACAGAGTTAGGTGTAATGTATTTGGCGGATTATCGGTGTGACAACTAACATATACATCGATCGACATACACAAAGTGAACATACGTTCTAGAAATTAACCAATTAGGTCGTAGTCCGAGATATTTGTTTGCGCGAACGTTACCCGCTCGCTGAGTTTTCAATACACTAAATGTGTTTATTTTTGTGGGTCTTGGCTTAACCGAGTAAGGCAACACTAAAGGCCACATTTCATTAAAAAATATTCAGATCGTTTTTAAAATTTTAATCCCACGTGTGTACACGAATTTCAGGGTTCACCTACTCTTAGGCGGTTACTGCAGCGTAAAGGCGCGGCTGCCGCTTTGAGACATGAGGTCAAAGTGTCAGCCAATGTGGTCAAAAAGCCGCCGTCGTCGGAGTAGCAGTGCTCGGTCACACGCGCGAGTACTTGTCGCCGCCGTCGTCGGAGTAGCAGTGCGGGCAGTGCAGGCGGCGGCCGCGCACGCGCACGTCGGTGCCGGCGCGCCCGTCGCCCAGCGCGGCGCCGCACACTCCGCAGCGGAAGCACCACACGTGGTAGCACAGAGACAGGGACTCGATGATCATGGCGGCTCCGCGACCTGAGTACGAACGTCAGTTCTTTTTATAGCTCAGACGGATGAACGAGTTCACGCCCTATCAGCTGGTGTTAGGTGGTTACCGATGTCCATAGACAACACAACATGGAAACCGCCATCTACCTTCAGACATGAAGTTTAAGAGATATTTGTATCATAAACGTCTGTCACACCCTTCTAACCAGATCGCTTTCTGTTTAGCGATAGAGATAGCTTGATATCCGACAGATCAGGGTCCCAAAGGGTCCTAGCACCAGGGAAGCGTCCATACATCGCGTTCCTTCAGCGCTATCACATACCGTTTATGGAAAGTACTTTACGGTAGGCGATTACGCCACTGGCACTGCCGATATCTATGTGTTAAGTATCCACTGTGAGAGTATCCATCCGTTGGATCACACATTCAACTATTTTTAACAGCAATATGAAAAAAACTGGCTGACTTTTCTAGAACGACTCTAAATTTTGTGGATATTTTTTTTATGATAGAGGAAAGACAATTAAAATTCGATTATTCGTCGCACTCAAAATTGGGTAGTAGTAAAGTTTAAAAATGAGTAATCTATAATTAATTAATATAAATTAACCCTAAATCGGGCACAGGGAACTATTTTCCCACTCTCCCAATCTAGGTAAAATTCCGAATATTTTTGAAATGGCAACCTTTCAGGTTGTAATTTTTACACAAATATAATCTTAGATAATTACAGAATTATTTAACTGGCCACCCCACCTTTTCAAATGTCACGTGTCAACGTCAGAATCAAATTAATGTCACTTTTGAAAAAATTGCGCGATTTTTACATAGTGGAGATATAAATCTATAAAGTTTCTTCAAAATAGATTCTTGTAAGTAGTTATTTGATTCGTTATATTAATTATATTATATTATTATACTAATTTATTATATTCTGTGTAACTTGGCTATGATATTCAAAAACATAGTGTTTGTGTGGTTTTGATTCATTTGAAATATATTCTTGCAAGTGGGAAAATAGTTCCCTGTGTCCGTTCTCAGACTCCATTTTGCGTCACTATATATAAAAAATTGACATTTATTTCTGTCGACTTTTTTAATTTTGTCAATTTATTTAGTTTATTTTAAAATGTTGGTTTCAATTGTTTTAAGCGCTTGAAACTATATTACTGAATCTTACTGATTTATCGGACATGGATACTGATGATGACGATATTTATAGCGATTAAGAAATAAGTTCATCCTGATAGTTTTTATTGTTTATTGAATCCTTCATTTGCACACTGACACTCCACCTCACTTCTACGTAAATAGTTCTGTGCACATTTATTGAGTAAAATAAATTCAAAAGCAGAGTCAGGGTAAATTGGTAGTCTATTTAAATTTCTAGAGGTAGTCGGGCAAAGGGAAATTATTTTCCATTTTGGTTGTCCATGAACAGGCAAAGGGAAATAATTTCCCACCCGTAAAACATAATTATTTTCAGTTTCAATAATTTATATATATGATTTTATGTACACTGATATCCAACATGATCCAAGAGCATATACTTAAGCTATGAAAAACATTTTTTTTATAATTTTTTATTTTATTATTTTTGTCCTATTAATGATTAATAGTGTGATACTGGATCATCTAGAGCTAAAGAGGCGGTAATGCCATCAGGCTTTATTACTGCCCAACTATAAAAGAGAATATGATACTCATATGTTACGATCCGATAATTGTGTGCTACAATCCGGCCACCGAAAGAATACACTCAATAAATTTTAGCACAAAAATTACCACATAAATTAAACGGAATTATCTACTTCTCTATTACAAACTATTCGTAGGGCAAATAAAAGAAAAATCCTTTTTGAAGGTAAACTCGTCCGTGCTATCTCGACCTGTCAGGGACACGTTCTTTCAGCGGCCGGACTATACAACAAGAAAGCCGCAGTTCTGGGGTTTAACCGCTTTAGTTAAAATAGAACGTGAGGCCGTCTGCAAATTCGACTCTTATTAACAGTTTGTTTGTTTGAACGCGCTAATCTCAGGAACTATACTGGTCCGATTTGAAAAATACTTTCAGTGTTAGATAGTCCATTTTACTGAAGAAGGCTATAGGCTATATAACATTGCGCTAAGACCAATGGGACAAATAGGACCAAGCGGAGCACCAATAAAGAATGTTTCGAAATCGGGGTATCCCTTTTGAGAGCTTACGCTATATGTAGATATACGCCAAAGTAATTATTCCACGCGGACGAAATCGCGGGTAAAAACTAGTTAATGCTAAACTGCAAATTTACCTAGTTCCTCTCCGCAGTGAGAACATTTCCTCTTCCCGCTGACGCTGAGAAGCTTCTCCTCTCGGGGCGTCCGTTTCACTTCCTGCGCCAGAAACTGATGGCTGAAATCAAAGGAGATTTAACCTTTAGCTCGCTGGTCCGATGGACCCCAACTAGCGTTAGGCGGGTCGGAGACCATGGACAGCATCACATTAATACCGCCACCCACTTTGAGACACAACAAGGTCTAAGTTTCAATTAACTGCTACGTAATTATTGTCGCATCATATTGGAACGCCATATAATACCTCCTTTTTTTCAAACACCTTTTTTTTTATTGTCCTTGTCGGCAGACTAGCGTACAGCCCACCTGATAGTGAGTGTTTACCGTCGCCCACGGACTTCAGCAATTCCAGGAGCAGAGCTAAGCAGCTGCGTACCGTTAACTCTCCACAAGCCTCATTTGAATAAGGAAGACCCTGCGAGTACACGGGTCCCTAAGGTGTTTCATCGTGAAGGAGGGAGTTCTGATGGGGTTTTGTAGAACGCATGGTGCACACACCTGTTGCTCAGTGGCGCCGTGTTGTGGAGCGTGTTGGGCACGTCCTGGTGGTACGAGTGACGCTGGGCAGTCCGCAGTCGACTCCTTTGTTCTTCTATCCTGCGGTGTTCCGCTTCCTGGAAGTATCCACCAGACTTTTTTTTTATTGCTTAGATTGATGGACGAGCTCACAGCCCACCTGGTGTTAAGTGGTTACTGGAGCCCACAGACGTCTACAATGTAAATGCGCCACCCACCTTGAGATATAAGTTCTATGGTCTCAGTATAGTTACAACGGCTGCCCCACCCTTCAGACCGAAACGCATTACTGCTTCACGGCAGAAATAGGCAGGGCGGTGGTACTTACCCGCACGGACTCAGAAAAAGTCCTACCACCAGATATGTATATGTATATGTGTCTGGGGCAAATACATGGTAATGAGTGTAATGTTTTTTTTAATTGATTTAATGTATTATTAATGCATAATAAAAAAAAAATTGCATCTGCATTCCTTCTCTATATTCTCTATAAGTGTGGGAAATTTCATACTCCTCCGTCCGCGCAATTTTCGTAAAAAGATAGATACATCATCCGTAATGTGATTGGTGATTGTTTACCTGTATGAGCCAGTGCTGGTTGTAGTTGTACGGTTTCCTGGTGCGAGCTTGCATCCATTCACAGTTGGACATGAGCTTGGGCGTGGGAGCCGCGCTTAAAGCCTGAAAGTTTTATCCCAAAATAAAGCTGTTTGTTTTTGAAGTGAAACTTCTTTAGAATCGTTGTGATTTCGAACCCGATGAAACGAAAAAATAAGTCCATAGAGACACAAACACATAAATGTATAGGATTCAGCCGGCGAGAGAATGAGACAGAACACATTAGACGTTCTCACTGTAGTGTTTTTTTAATATAGCGCCATCTATGAGATTTTTTAATACTAACGTGTGTATGAAACCTCTTGTAGTGAATTTTAATTTAGCATTATACGTGAAGTTAAAATATCAATTCACAGAGGGCGCTACCTCACACTACAAAAGATGATTTACAATTATTTACTAATGACAAAATTTTACATATACCTAAGACATTTAGGATAATTGTATTTACATTTTTGAAAGTTTCAGTTCTACCACGTGTGAATTGCACACATGTATTTTTTGTTTACATTTGCTCGATGTTTATCCGATTGCGCTTAACCGTTACAAGATTAGCATTTGAGTATATGACTGACATGATACCGTCAACAAAACATATTAGTTTTAATTTTGTTTACCAAATTTACGCCGGTAAGAGTAACGCCATCTGTCGTCAAATAGCAGAAACGAAGATCAAAAGAACTAGTATTATCGCGAACGCTCGAGAAGTGTAACGCCATTTATTATCCAATAGCGGAAACACATATCGAAACGACTAGTGGCACCGGGAATGTTCTCGATAATTGTAGAGTTGTCTTGTCGACTATAAAAACGTTGCAGAGATGACATGAAGGCAGTTAGTAATCTACTTCCCGAAATTTTACATTCGTCTCATTATCTTGAAGCCAAAATTTTTGAAGGTTTTGCTTCTACCGCGTGTGAATTGCACACACATTTTTTTTCATTTCTACCTACCTGTAAAGTGTGTCTAGTCATCGGATGGTAGGTGCCGTTGGTCTGAGCGGCAGCGGCGGGCGGGGGAGGCTGCTTGGATCTCAGGGGTACCGCGTTACGTTCCACATTCACATACTCCACGGCGGACGGCACTCGACTGCTTCTGATAACGATTAGGAACAATGATCTAGCTATATTAATGTGTTTTAATTTTAATTTAGTACACATTAGAACGTGATGCTTGTGAATAAACTAGCTTTTCTGTCTGTGTGGAAAGGCATTACTGCTTCACCACAAGGCTATTAAGCAGTAATGCGGGATTACAAGACAAATTACCAGTCTATTTTGATCTGATGCTATGAACCAGAATTTCATATTGTAGATTAGGGTTGTCTAAATAAAATAGATTTAAGTGCTTTCATGCTATCAGGCATTTAATTTATTCCTGTCTGCTCTTGTTCCCAACGTTACGAATAATTTGTAGTTTTTGTGATCATAGAATCAAGTCTACGTAAATGTCAGATGAGAACGACATTGACGAAACATAATCAAATTCACGTTGCAGTTATGAGTTTCCTACAACGGCTACAACCACATACAAATCCGTAACTGAATTGCGAGCTCTTCTCACATAATTAAAAAAAACATGAGTACATCATGTATTATATCATCCAGGCCTACTGCCATATCCAGAGATTTGAAATAAAAGGAGTGGGCACTACATTACTTTATTATCAAACTAGCGGCCCGCTCCGGCTCCGCTCGGGTCTTTAACAAATTTGACGTTGTTTTATTTTTTTAAGTAAAATAACACTTATTGCGGCATAACTATAATAGTTAGACATATGCTGTCGCGACATTTTTTGTAAATAATAATGTGTTCTACAAAGTCGTAGTACATTATTTTATTCTATCATCAATCGTTTTCGCAGGGCACGCGATGTAAATAATATTTTAGGTAATTTTTTTACACCTTGGATTACATTATTGGAGTTTTAGTAAGGATCCCTAATTGTTTTCAAAAAAGATTACAGCTTATGTCACTCGGGAATAGTGTAGCTTCCAAATAATGAAAGATTTTTAAAAAGGCTCAGTAGATCCGGAGCCTATTCAATACAAACAAACAAACAAATCTTTCCTCTTTATAATATTAGTATAGATTTATTAATGTCTAAATGATTCTAATTAATTAATTACCTCATAGTGATCTCTCTTTCTATGGACTCTCGGCTTTTGGGTTTCGGCGGTAGAACTGGCTGTGGGACCCTCACAGCAGGAGACTGCCGTCTCGCTTCCACTCTCTCATCGTAAAGCACTCTCCTGCTCTCCTCCACCCCGAAATGCCTTTGTATATGTTCTTCTGACACAAACGGCTTCCTCTTCTCGTCCACGTAAGATCTCTCTTGTATCACAGGAGTGATGGGAGTGTAGTTTTCTTTCAGTAGCAAGTTGGGCATTGAATGGCGATAGTTCTGCGAATGTTTCCCGGAACGCGTCTGTAACGGAGTCTTATCCGGGACGCGTACGGATACATCTTGTACTGATTTCTGAATGATTCGATTTTGATCTTGAATCAGCTTCTCCCTTTGCCTGCTCAGCTCTTCTTGTTCGAGTTGCAGTAGTTCTCTTTCGAATCGAAGTACTTCCTATATTCGATTTTAATGATAAAGCAAATTGTATTTCTTAAGTTGGTTGGTTAGTAAATTATTAATAGAAGTTAATTACCTGATTAAAGTTTTTTTAGGTGGTTAGTTATTCGTTCAGAGAATTGTATTTAAATTACATATGTGCAATGCTTAGCTAGCGTGTTCAAAACTCACATTCATAGTTAAATTGAACAGATTTTGGTTAACGCATTTGAGGACTAAGTTGTCACGTAATACATTGTATCTACGTAAATATTTGTCCCGCGTTTTTAAAGTGAAACTTTTGTTACATCGTCTCAAGCTTTTTCGTCTGTGTGTTGCATGTCGCGTGATGGTCGGCCGCGGAGTAGGGATAAAGTGAAAGGCGCTCGTCAGAGCAGCCAAGGTCAATATGGCGGCGCCTATAGTTCGCAGCAGCTGACCGTGTAGTGTATAGACTATTACTCATTTGTGCCAGTGCTCCACGCTATTTTGTTTGTTTTGTCAGTGTTTAATGTAAATGTTGTTTGTCAGAGTTAAATGTCTATAATGTTCCACTTTTACCGTGGTTTCATAAAACCACACAATCCTTTTTTTTTGTCGTTTCGTTAACCAAAACCAGTTCAACGTATGAAATTATTAGCATAAAAACACAACATTCACCTTTGTGTGAGCGTCATCAAATTGCCCGTCCCGCCATTCGTCGTTAGTGTGACGCGCCTGCAAAGTTACGTCACGGCGGCCATCTTGTTAATGTTATTTACAACAAACGAAATGCGAGTATGAATGAATGAACTATACTATTTATGGCGTTTATTTCAACACATTTTAATAATTATTACCAAAAAAATTGTATTTTTTTTTTCTTTTACTACAGATTTTGTAATCCATATTACATTCATTAACATTTCATATAGTATACCAGAATTAAATAAAAACAATAACTACATTTTCGGAATAAAACAATAATAATAAGAATTAAAAAAAACTAAAAATGAACGTCAAAACTAACTCAACTTATAGGCTGGTTTCGATACAGAGTGCTCAACATGTACACGATATATCAACCAACATTCACGGTATCGACGTTATATGGTAGTGTAAATCCTTTTTTATTGCCATTGAAGGCGCATGATTAGTCTACTTGGAGCAAAGTATTCGTTCAAAGACGTCAGCAATGCTAGTAGTTTAGTCCTGTGCCTGATTACCGTGAAGCTATGTTAAAACTTCGGAACTTGGAAAATTTGGGTTGTTCAGAAAATATCGAGATAAGGTTCATTCTAAGCCCAGGCAATAAGTGGAAAAAACTGCCTTCGCAAAAATTACAAGTTGAACCGACTGATCCCAGATAGACATGACTTCTCCACTGGAGAGTGGTGGGATGATTGAAGGGAAAAAAAACTGAACCAAACTGTGTTATAAAACTTTGCATAATCCACTCATTAGTCCAGACGCTTTTTTTTACGAAGCCAGATAGAAATATCTGGTACTTGATGCCCTAAAACGGGATCTTTCTTTTTAGAAAATTCGACAAACAAATCAAGAAACAGCCAATTTGGTTTTCATGTTTACACAATCAACAGTTCATCTAGTACCTATTTTTTGTGACGCCATAAATATTATAGTTCTCAATTAAAATGAGTGAGACATTGAATGCAATAACAATTTAATATAAATTGCATCATTACATTACGTATAAACATTGATGGAGATTATAGAAATAGCATGATGATTAACTGAATAAAAATCGCTACATGCAAGTGCATTAATGTGATAAATAAAAGCCATGGTGTTTTGTGGGGTAAACATTTTTATTAGCAACGTTTTTAAACTCAGCGTTCGCCTGATCACAATCTATTAATTTCACTTAATCAATTTAGTGTTCTGCTTTTGTTATTATAAGCATTAAAAGCCAAAGTTACTCTGCCAGCCAAGTTTAATATCACATCTCAGTCAATACTATTTTGAGAGTGGCAACTTGTCTTTAGTGTTGCCAGATTTAAAAACAATATTTTTCTGTCTTTAAATCTTTTGAACTACAGATATTATTATGTGTATTTATGTGAAAATTTTATAATTATTATTAATTAAGCATTTTTGTTAGGATGTGATATTAAAATAATTATAGCCAGAACCCACATTCTCTCCATTGATATGTATATAATAAAGCCATTCCTTATAAATATTAATGTAATTGTGCCAAAAGCATCTACAGTGAAAAATAAACTTAATAACTATATTCATATAATACATTTTACTGTTACAGCAAAAATACTTCAAATCAATACACTGATGTGTGATTATAATCAGCCATGCTAATAGCACAAGTGAATCGTTCTGAAATTTGAAGTCACAGCCACAACCGGACAGACTTTCTACAAATTAAAACAGAATCTACATCTTTACTATAATGTTTAGTCTACCGTAATATCTATACATAAGATAGCTAAAAAATAATATTTTTAAAGTTCAGCTTTAATATCAGTATCGCCACACATTCCAGTATTTAGATGACAGGTTAGAAAATTTCAGCGGTTAATATCACTATAGAAGCACAGTACGTGTTCGTCCTTGTGATAGTCATGTTTATAGTACGAATTGTCCTGGTCTTATACATTGGCAAGGGAAGAGAAACAGTAGTGTATTTAAGGAGATGAATTTATGCAGCTTTCATTTCAATAATTGTGAGGCAATTTGGTTTTTTAACTGATCTCGTAAAAACTAAATGCATTTTACAAGGAACATGTGAGAAGGCGTTGATAAAAATTTTCTATATTTGATACCGATACTGAAGATCCTACAAAATGTTGCCAGCTCTTACTCTTACTACTACTACAATATATTTGAAAAATTAAATAACGCTTATAAACTTTTTTGCTATTAAGTAAAATTTTATTTATATTGTATTTTTCACGTGTAAATCTTCTGCTAGCATTTCCCTAAAACGAAACGCTAAGAAGATTACACGAATATATAATAAAATAATGATACGAAATAAATATTTTTATATTAAATTAATGAATATTACCAACTACCCTATAAGTTAAATATTGCCGTCTTCGTATGACAAAGCATTTGCTAGTGGAAATAGGCAATTAATCCATTCGTGATGGAAAAGAAGCGATTTACCGATCTTTCATAATTGTTAAATCTATCAAAAAAATATCCAATATTTAATCATTTGGTCCAAATAATAATTTATATTCCAAGCAATATAGTTTGCATCTCTTTTTTTTACATGCGCGTAAAAGAGATGCAAATCTATATTAAATTCACATGGATGATTAAAACCGTTATAAATGAACACTAGAGAAGTCTAAGCCTAGTTACTAACATTCTGACGTAACAAGAAATAAAGAATGTAATGGTTTTAGTACAACGATAAGAAGTGCTATGTTTTTTTTTTTAATAAAGAAATTTAAGTTTTTCAGAAACTCCTAGAGAAAATAGCTAGCCATTTTACATTCCGGCTCTTATGTTACCTGTTGCTGCTGTAGTTTCTTGTCCAGATTTTCTATTTGGCTGTCATCGGACTGTGATGTTTCTTTTAGCTCTGCCAGTTTCGTGTTGAGGTTGTTCGTGAAGTCTCCGTTTTGTTTCTTGATGATTTCTTCTTCGTCCGATGTTATTGTTACGTGAGTGTAGGGCTGTAATTTGAACGTCTTTTCTGTGTTAAATGCGAAAGTTAATTGGGAAATGATTGGTGCATTGATTTATTATATAATTATTTGCTGTTATGTGCAAATGATGTGAGGCGGTTACTACTGGGTGAATCTTGTAAAAATTGTACATTTAAATGATTTTAGTAGAGTAGCTTAATAAACTACACTTAAGACTTTAGAACTTATATCTCAAGGTAGGTGGCGCATTTTACGTCGTAGATGTCTATGGGCTCCAGTAACCACTTAACAGAAGCTGGGCTGTGAGTTCGTCCACATAACTAAGCAATTAAAAAAATGCCTACGTGATAATAATTATACTAATTTATATTGAACGTAGTTTTTAAACTTCATATGGCGCGTTTGAGAAATTAGATCGGTGTGTATTTTAGTTTGATGATGCAACACATATAATTAATTTATTGCTTTATTTGTCAACATTTTTAGGAATATTTTTGTAAGTATTATTTAAGAGTTAAATATTAAACAATTTGGTGTTGGTAAAGAATTCAATTACGCCAATAAAATATGCTATATTTACAAGTGTATACATATTTTTTTAGTACGACGCAGCTATAAATGTTTGGGCTCGCTATTTTTTGCGTTGTTGCCAAGGCTGTCGGTTGCATGTAAGCCAAATATGCTGCAGTCCTATTTCAAACATAAAGTAAAAGTCCCAACTGTAATGTAATAAAGGCTATCGCGCCTTTCAGAACGAGATAGAAAGAGAGGCAAGACGATGACGTAAAAACTGAAAGTATCTTTAGTACTTACTACTTTAAGTACCAACCGAAGTATTTCGTAAGATAACAACAAGATTGAAACAAATATGGACAGTATCTTCGTGCGTCAACTGATATGTTTCAAAGATAACAAACTTTAAGTCCGAGAATTTTACAGCCATATTTATTATCCTCGAAGGATCCTTTTGCTGGTGGTAGGACCTCTTGTGAGTCCGCACGGGTAGGTACCACCACCCTGCCTATTTCTGCCGTGAAGCAGTAATGCGTTTCGGTTTGAAAGGCGGGGCAACCGTTGTAACTATACTGAGACCTTAGAACTTATATCTCAAGGTGGGTGGCGCATTTGCGTTGTAGATGTCTATTGGCTCCAATAACCACTTAACACCAGGTGGGCTGTGAGCTCATCCAGCCATTTAAGCAATAAAAAAAAAATCCTCTAAGGACTTAATAATAGACAACCGGATCTCACGATGAAAAGTCTGTTCAACTCACCTCACTATTCTGTCTGCTATGAGGATTTGAGGTCTCCGGAGACGACTGCCCCTTATACCAGGCTTCGGCTGATGGTCCCCTGTCCACATCAACACCTGAATCCCTACTATCTCTCAACTTCGCATCCATGTCATGAGAAAGAGTTTTCTTGTACAACAACTTCTCGATTTTGGTCTCTTCTTGAAGGAAAGAGGTGATGTCAGGTCGAGGCGCTAAGGATAAGTCAGCGTCCAGATAGCTGTCGTCCACTTGACCTTCGATTCCTAAGAAGCTGGTGCGTTTGTTGCGAATTTCCTTCTTGATTCGACGCGTCGAGTTCGTGTGCTTGAAGTTTCCCTGTTTCCATGTAAAGAAGTTGGTTCAGTTTTTAATGCAATATTAAAATAACTAAAAGCGATAATTGAAGCTATTTCATTGCCTAAAAAGTTATATTTCTGATTTAGACAAAAAAAAACCAGAATATTTATCATAATTTGATTTAAAGTTATTAAAGTTTACAAGCGCGCGTAATCAGTAGATGGAGTTACAAATTTCTAATTCTAATATTAACTAGTATCTGAGCTCACGGGGCCCAAACCGGAGTTATGCTAACACTGACCCCAGCAAGAGCAGTGCTTCGCAGAATCTACCACCGGATGGGAAACGCGACCCACTAAGAAGATCCAGCGAGAAACTCAGTGGACTGTGTCTATGGGTTAATTCGCTCGTCGAGCCCTTCGTCGCAAGCGACGGGTTCGATGAGGACGGTGACCGGTGCTTGTGGTACCTAAAAGCACCGTTAATGGATCAGAAGGATCCGTAATGACGTGCGTTGGGCGACGTCGACTGTTTACCATTCGGTCTACAGGATCGGGTATGTAGTTTCCAGCGGCCACGACAAAAGGGTTCTCATGTCGTGCTGCCTTCTCAAAGTGGTGGTTTAATATAACAATGCATTTCCAAAGGACTACTGAAGTTCACGTAGTCGATTTCGCAGGCACAGCTAGTTGGCAATAAAAATCAAAATTTATGTTCATACAATCAATAAATATCTTTTGATTGTGCATTCCACAAATTTATTGACAATGATAACGTTGATAATTTAGTTCACTAATTTTTGAATTCTATTTGATTGTATAATTGATTCTGGAAATTTATTGGATACGGTTAATTTTATAGCGAGAAAAATTAGCAGACTATACAAATAACACCGTATCTATGATACAAACAAGATAAACTTACAAAAAAGTCCGTTATTGGTTGGAGTCAAATCAAATTCAAATTCAAAATCATTTATTTCAACTTAGATGTCAGTATGACACACTTGTAGAATGTCAAAATATAAATAACAATGTTAACTCTACCACGGGTTCCAAAAAAAGCCACAGTCCTGAGAAGAACCGGCGAAACAACCTCAGCGGCCTTTTAATTTTCTTTTTTCTTAATTTTTTTTTTTTAAATAAATAAAAATAGTTAACAATAAAGGAAAAAACAAGTCAATAAATACAATTAAAAAAAAAAAAAATATTGTAAAATGAAAAGGCCAGGAGCGAACGCCTCATTCCCACGTAGTTCCATCTAGTAAATAATCCTAACTTATTTAACGGAGTAAATTTATTTAACGAAATGCACTTACATTTCCTAAAAGTTCATCGCCGTCGACATCCTCAGTGGGTGGCNTAACTTATTTAACGGAGTAAATTTATTTAACGAAATGCACTTACATTTCCTAAAAGTTCATCGCCGTCGACATCCTCTGTGGGTGGCGGCGGCGGTTTCTCTTTAGGCGGTTCCATCACACTACTCGGCATATCCAGGGGGAACGAAACTTCATCTGTATTCTGATAGAATATATCTATGTTCTCATACAGAGGTGTTACTGAAATCTTCTCATTTAGACTCAAATCTAGGCCAGTTTTATTGGACGTGTCTTCTTCCATATTGGCACTGTCTTCTGAATCTAATTCTTTGAATGCTAATTCCAAGGCGTCTATCACCTGAAGATTTTAAAAGAAATTGTTTAAAACAGGAGAATTTATCGCTTATGGTCTGATTAGATAAAACATTGCGTAAGTAAAAAACAAAACGGGTGAGATAAACAAATAAAAAAAAGGATCTTTTTTTTATAAAAAGCTAACATTGCTAGTGGCTAGTCGTTTACTCGACATTAGTGATTTAAGTTCTATGATTTCATCTTTTCTTTTTAATCTATTATAGATATGCGTCCATTTGTAAGGTAGGGTTTCTTTAAACAAATGATCCAAGCATTAAATTGTAGATGCAATTATACAGCAACATTGATAACAGTTCCACAATTGCGAGCCCTCGTGAGCACATTTTATGTAGTGGTCACATTGCGTACAAAACACCCGAAAAAAATAGCGGTGTATACGCCCACTTGAATGGATGATGCATGAGATTTCGAACAAAAACAGTGATTGAAATTTTATTAGTAACAAAAAAAATCATGCCAAAGAAAAGGTGCATAAGCGTTATTAATGCCACGGCATGGCATGATGCAGAGTTAGCACAAAGCGATTTATCTATTGCTAATTGCTTACCTCAGTAGCCCATCACCATATGATGAAATATACTATATAAATAATATCAGTAATTAAATTTTAGCATTCGTACCCACGACGTGAACTCAATAAAACCTACATAATGTACTGGCTTATCTTTCTAACAACATAAGTCGTGTACCAGGAGATAAGAGCTATGTTTGTCTTAGATACGCTTCTCAGAGATAATGTACTGATTTCCTTATATTATGATAATAACACAAGATAGGTATATACACAAATAAAACCCACACATGTAACGTTATAACATATATTTATGATAATATGAATTTACATTATATCAATAGTTTTACTAATGAATCCTACATGTCGGTGTGACAATTTACACGTGGTTTTAGAAAATGGGGCCTACACAATATCCCTGTACCCTAAAAACTCTATTCATTTGAGAGCTTGTCAAACACAAAATAAGTCTTAGTCTTTTGCTTGGAACTTATTCCTACCCACGTGTCGTGGTAATATAAGTATTTTGTGCATGATAAAACCATCAAAATCAAATTATATTTCTTATAACATGCGATTCCTATTGAGTGCTAGGGAATTTAGAAATTTTAGCACATCGACATTAATACGTAAAATTCTAATGTTAAACGTGAACGATTAAAAATTATTATTTTAATTGGGTTTAAATAAATTAGTGGCAAAATAAATAGTGGGCGAGATCAATAGATCGTAAAAATTCTAAAAATACATAACTATCCATTACGTGATTCTCATCTAGCTTGCGTTATGAGAGCAATGCATGAGAACCGAATGGATTCTACGAATAACGAACATTGACTTAGGCTTTTTCATTGCTACTGTACGTCGTGGTTGGTGTACAGGTTTTCGTTGTTACTTTATTATTAATAAATAATATAGTTTTTCTTCTATTTGGTTCGACTGAACGTTTCGTTCTCTTTTCCCAAAACGGATTGGAATCTTGGGTTGTACTTACCCCTACTTCATCGTTAGCTGCAAGATCATGAACAACAGTATTATTATGATTAAAGTTAGCATTATTCAATGATTCGTGGATGTTTGGACATTGTACGGGTGAGCGTTCGGACGTGCATGTTACATCTGCGATTTTATTAAGCGCGTTATCGAATGTTTTTAGCGTTTTGATGGAATTTTTTGGTGAAATGTTAGTTATGGTTGTTATATTAGAGACAGTTACCATTGGCATGCTTTTGCTGTTAGTTGTATTAGTGGTTTGGTTAGAATTCCCAGCACCGGAGTTCACGTTACAGATTTCATTCAAGTCTAGGTGTATGGTCATTTTTCCCTCAAATACCACAGTGTCTCCGTCTGACGACGTGGAGGTTGTTTCGTTCAAACTTACACTAGTATCTTGGTTTTCCAAGCTTTTAAGTGTGTCTTCATCGTCTTTGTCTGTGTGCAATTCAGATACTTCTTCAGTAGCGCTTGAGTTCTCAAGTTGTTGAGACACCGCTTGGGTGTAGTTGCTTGTGCTATCATCATCAGCTTTGCTGTCTTGATCTTCAGCTTCTTCAACAATGGCTTCCTGTACGGTTGGCTGGAAATGTTCAGGTATCTTCTCTTCTACGATTTTTAACTCTACCTGTACACTATCTTCATTTGATGATTCGTATTCTGAAGCTTCGATCATAGGTTCGCCGATCGGTGAGGCGACTTGGCTTAAATCTGCTATATCATCAGCAGGGGCACACGAATCTCTAGCAGTGTGAATACCGCTATCTTCGGTTTCAATATCACTTGGTACCGTATTGTTTTGCATTTCAGCACAATCAAAGTCTTCTAAGCTTTGAACCCTTTCAAAAGAGTTCGGTGATGACTGGCCATTTGTATCTAAGCTGTCCAGAGACCGGCAGAAGCTTTGCATTTGACTTTCGATGCCAGTGAGACTTGATTTCAAAGAGTTTTCCATTAGCTTTCCCTTTGAATCTTCAACGTTTTTGGTTTCCGAAATCTTTTCATTGCGGTGAATTTGTTCATCGACTGATATTTTTGGAATCTCTTTATTTTTGGCTGCATCCAAACAGGAAAGACGCTCTTTTAAGCTCATGGAGACATCCTTAACTTCTGTTTTCACTGATTTGACTTCTTCCTCTGAAGTTTGCGATTTTAGACTATTCAGTCGTTCTTTCAAGGATCTAGTATTTCCAAGGTCTCCGTTCGAGAGCCTTTTTACTTTTTCAGGTTCAGCAGACTTTACTTTTTCTAAAGAAGACAGTCGTTCTTTCAGAGGTCTCACCTCTGTTGGTAATTTGGTGAGATCGCTTGTAGATTTTTGAATGTGTGTTTCTTCTGTAAACTTCTCTAAGCTCGACAGCCTTTCCTTTATTGACTTTTTGTTGTTAATATCTGCAATTTTGGGCTTATTTATTTGTAGTTCTTGCGAGTTTTCTCTTTCAAACTGTTCCCTCCTTTTGTGTATGTCGACCTTGGGTAAATCTTTCTTTACGAAATTTCTTGCGTCGTTAGTCCTTTCTTGTTGGAAGGACGAGACCTTTTCTTCGATTTTGTTGCTAACGCTTGTTCTTATTCTGTTTAGATCGCTGTTCTTTTCCGGTGACGTCTCTTTGGAGTTAATGACGAGTGTCTTAACCATATTGCTATTGGTTTGTGATATGATCCTCGACTTGTAGCCCTCGATGGCACTCTCATACGTGTACTCTTCGGGCTCCGGAGAGCTGATCGTCGTGGTCGTGCATGTGTCGTATTCGTTGGCGCTGGAGCCTAGCTTGCGATTGTTATCGCAATTGGACATGTTATCGACATCTGAATGATTCTTATCCAGATCCATACCGTCGCTCTGTGGAGTAACAAAAGTAGATTTTAATTTCCGATTCCGCTACTAATATTTACCAGTAGTTATACATTTGACTATTATACACGTGGCTGTTGTTATGTACTATATACACTATCGAATCACATTTATAATTCGGTGTTATTTTAAAAGAAAACATTAAAGTTGTTGAATCGAATAGCGTCTCCTTAATCTTATGTGGATTGTACTTTTGCTAGAAACGCTCTTTGAAGTACCAACAACTGTCAACAATTTCATCAGTCAGAGAGCAGGGGCAAACTATAATCCAGTAGGAATCACTATCCTGTTTAATTCAATGACAAAATAATCATACAGTTTTGGTTCGAAGGGAGTCAGTCAGAGAGCAGTTTCTAAATTTTGACCGAGATTCAAATAGTAATGTTTGGGAGCTTCAGTAAGCTCTTAACATGTTGTGGACCTATAAAGGTATGCCAATCTTCAGCCATAAAAAACCTAAAATATCTTGACCTACGAAACTTACCGCCAGGCTGTGATTGTCGCAATCTTCGCTGAGACTGCTCTTGGTGCTCGAGGTTCCTATGCCCAGATCGCTGAGGTCGTGGCCATCCTCATCAAGATACGCCAGATGATTTTTCCGTCTACGACCGGCCCTGGAAAAAAATAAGATCCAAAATTAAATATACTTTTGATTGGCTATAAATTCGTATGTACAATTTGAATTAAAGTTCTTGTTCAAGTCAAAATATAATTCGTTGTAAATATATTTCATTGTAGTTTGTAGAACATAATATTCAAATTATGTTGATACGTCTAAGGCACACCGAAGACTCGGATTCAAATCAAATCAAATAAAAAATTATAATTCAACATAAATGAAAGTACATACTTGTTGAACGTCAAAAAGATCTACCGCCAATTCACAAAAACTAGCCTTCGTCCTGAGAAGAACTGGCGAAAAACTCAGCGGGCTTGTCTTTTTTTTTAAATATTAGATTTTTTTAAATATTCATTTATTTTATAGCCAGTTACAGATTACCAGTATAGAGTAATGCGGAGCTGCTCGGCTTCAAATTCTGTTGTCAATTGTATCAAATATAAATACGTTTTCTTTTAGTATTCTGCAATAACTTCGACAACTTAACAAAAATTTTGGGCTAGGATAGATGCGTATGAAGATCCAGTCTATTTCTTTGAATTGTGTGTCATGCTGCACTTGCATCTGTTTTTGAGCAGATACAGCAAGTCGAGACGTCACTCTCACAACACATTGTTAGACAGAAATAGAGTTTTCTCAAGCGTCATTTTCATAATCAAACATTGACAATGAAAAAACACTGTTTCACATAAATTTACAAATATTCTGACACCACAAAATTTTTCTTTTAAACATGCCAATATTGAGTAAGAAAATTGCAACCGATGAATTTCATAAGGACTCTTAAGGCTTCGTAGAGTAAGTACTATTTGAATTCTAAGAATGAAAATTACTTGAGCAATAACGAATGCATTCCGTCTGAACGTAGTGTATTCTAAAACTGAGTCATTCAGTAAACATTGGGCTGGGACTGAGATGTGCAGAGTTACAATAATATGGTTTAAGTTATATTAAAATGAAATGACCCAATCTTAAGGGGCAGTCATAATTAAAAAATACTCGAATTGTAGAACCAGGGCGTTCTGTGCAAACCCTGGTGTATACAATTTTTTATTAAGTTCGAAACTGGTATTTAAATTTTTAATTCGAAGTTTCAAATGTTATAATCTAATTATTAAGCGAAGATGACGAGATGACTTTTAGCGAGTAGGTACATAAAATATTGTGTCGGCTCCAGTGACTACTGTCTTCCGCGTGCGTGTCCTCACGTGAGTCAACTAGCAAATATACCCACCCGCATTGGGTATTCTTAGTGATGAGTAGTTTGGAAGCGTTGCAAAATCAAAATTATATATTGTAACTAGCTGACCCGGCAAACGTTGTTTTGCCATATATAAGGTTTCTAGGGAATTTCTAGTGTTGAAAAAAAAACTAACTTATTGTAAGCGTGTAAGGATGTGGTGAACGATGAGGGAATATAAAAATAAAACCTAATCCAACCACATAATGCCTCATTATAAAAAAAAAAATTGTTCAAAAAATACAAAAATATAATGTTAGGAGTGGACAATGAAAAATAGATAGTACCCGATTCTCAGACCTACTGAAAATGCATATAAAATTTCATAAAAATCAGTCAAACCGTTTCAGAGGAGTATGGTAACTGACATGTAGAGGAGTATGGAGTATGGTAACTGGTGACACGAGAATTTTATATATAAGATATCATTTCTTATTGCCATACTCTTTTTTTCTTATGAAAGTCATTACATGATAAATCTATTTAGTACAGTTAAAAAACTCGTGATTAGTGATCCTAACTGCTGTAACACGGAGCTTTAGTGGTTGAAACCAGTATCTTTCTTGTGGAGTTCGAGTTTGAGCGTGACTGTCTTTGTTTGCATTTTCGATGACCACAGCATAGGAGAAACTTTGGCCGTTTCATTTGGAACAGTTATTATTAAAGTAGCTTTCGATTAGCCAGGCGCAAAATAGATTAGGTTACTACATTATTTGGTGATTTTTTGCTTGCGCCCGGCTAACGGAAAAGTGCCTTTATAAATAACACCTCAAGATTTAGATTAAATTCAATCTTTTATTATTATTCCCATTTTCTAGTAAACATGAAAAAATATATATATAAAAGGCTCGTAAATAGCCTAATACTTAAAGAACATCGGTTGATTGATAAACAGAAGTAAAGACGGTGATTTGTTTAGACATTACCTATATTAATACATTAATTTTCAAATATGGATTTATTTTATTATCAGCTGACGCACGGGTTCAACGAACCCTGTGTGACGCAACAGGTCATTCCCCCAACCATCGATATAAATTGCAGTTTCACTATAACTTTTTAGGCTCACCACAAACTACTATATTGCACTTTGTTTATTTGTTAAGAAATTATAACTTTGTAGAGGTAAATGTCGCCTAGTGTAAAACTACCGTCAAGTAATATTTTTTTTATTTTATTGCCTAGGTGGGTGGACGAACTCACTGCCCACCTGATGTTAAGTGGTTACTGGAGCCCGTGGACATCTACGACGTAAATGCGCCACCCACCTTGAGATATAAGTTCTAAGATCTCACTATAGTTACAACGGCTGCCCCACCCTTCAAACCGAAACGCATTACTGCTTCACGGCAGAAATAGGCAGGGCGGTGGTACCTACCCGCGCGGACTCAGAAGAGGTCCTACCACCAGTAAAAATATTGGGCATTAACTGATCTTCGGTTAGCAGTTACACACATGGTTAGTTTTGTCAAATATTTAATATAATTAAGTGATTACATTACCGAACTCTCGCTTTCTATTCCAAAAGGCGCGACACGGCGAAAGTACTCGCGTGTTTGTTATACGCGTTTTCACTTTTCTGTGCTATATTACGTCACTGTGCATAATTCTGTTTAGACGTAGCCCGTGAACATTTGATAATAACGTTTTTGTTACGAATACATTTTTTTTATGGCTTAGATCGGTGGACGAGCTCACAGCCCACCTCGTGTTAAGCGGTTCCTGGAGCCCGTAGACACCTATAACGTAAATGCCGCCACCTACTTTGAGATATGAGTTCTAAGATCTCAAGTATAGTTACAACGGCTGCCCCACCCTTCAAACCGAGACGCATTACCTACTGCCTCACGTCAGAAATAGGCAGGGCGGTGGTACCTACCCGCGCGAATTCTCAAGAAGTTCTACGACCAGATTTTCAATGGCTTAATGCTTCCCACCTTTGCAGACGTCGGCCTACGTAGATAAATAGATACTAGTTCCAATATGGACAACGGAGTAGTCGTTATTGTTATGTAAACAACACTCCGTTGACGCGACTGATAACAGGCGTCCATAGATCGATTCCTGTGTGAACATCGTGAGAAACGCGCGTGGGAAACGCGTGTTATTATTGCGACCATGTCAGTCCCTGAAGATCGAATTCTTCCAAAGTTTTTTAGGTGTAGGTATTAAGTGGTTACTGAAGTCGACAATCCCGGCAACGCTTTAAGGCGAAGCATTAATCACATTATCGGAACTCTTGTCATAATCATATTTGTTCTCAATGGAATTGCTTCTAGAACTTATTATTCAAGTTACCGTTTGATGGTAGATTCTACGAAGCACTGCTCTTGCTAGGGCCAGTGTTAGCAACACTCCGGTTTGAGCCCCGTGAGCTCACCTACATGTTAGGGCGAAGGTGAAATAGCCTCTCAAAGCTAACAGCATAGGTAGGAGAAAAAAAAACCGTTTGCTGTAAGATGTTTTTTTTTATGATTGAAAGATTACTGCTGGCCCGGAGGCCTTTCCAGTTTCACCAGGACAGATGGGCGAACAAAGGCTCAGCCAGGAGGGGTGGGATTTGCTAACAACTGCCCGAGCGCCTACGAAGGAGACCTAACGGTAAGATGTGAACTATGACACAGTTACGTGAATACGGTTCGAGTGAAATGGCGTCTTATCCATAAGGGCAAGAATCCATCAACATTATTCCCTGGTAGCTCCTAAAGTTCTTAATGTATTTAAACAAAATAAGTCAACGAATGAGTGATGTCTGTACATAGGTTTAGTTAGTTTTAGGTTGATTTTGATCAGATTTTCTCCAACGAAAACAAGATGATCCTGGAATCTATTCCCAATACTCACGAATGCTCGTGCGGTCAATCACGAATCAATTTACGATTTTGTTTTTTCGCATTGCTCTCTTTCAGACTATGGTTGTAAACACCGACATATCGTCTTCTCGCATTAAAACTGTATAATCTCAAAACTTACTAATTTTACAGGAGAGTGTTTTAAAGGTTTAACATGTGATATTTTTAATATTGATTATCTTTGCAACATTTAAAGTAAGATAAAATTATGTATTAGTTTTGTTAATAGTAGTCAAAACATAGGTAAACTAAAAAAATAAAAACTAAAACTAAGCTACGCTCTTTTGAAAATATTTATGAGAAAAATACTGGTGATACCAAATTTTTCTGCATTATAACTCAATTTCGAATATTTTTGGAAATTGTACACTTTTAATGCGAAAAGACGATATATAAGTTTTTTTTTGGTGTCAAAAGTAAACTTTTCATTCGAAATAATTTTACGGTTTAAGTTCTAGTTTATTGAGTCGGTTTTGTAATGTTTGGCGTTTTGTTCATTATCTCGGTTCCGTGTTCGTGGACGAACGATGAAGATTAAACACGAGATATTAAACTGTGGGACTGTTGTAATATGTGTAGAAATATACGACAAAGGGAAGATCCTCCACCGAGCAGGTGATATTGCTCGGTAGACCGACGGTCCGAATGTTGTTGTTCGGAACTTGTATATATGTGCTTTATCTTGAAAATGTCGTAAGCGAGATTCAGGCATCTGTCAATTATCTTGCGTTGTATGATGGCTACCGCCACAATATGTTTTCGAAATCTTAGATGTGATCTTGACTTATCCATCATTTAAGATATTTCAGTAAAAAATACCTTGTTTAGAAGTCGTCGTCGACTTCAAATTGTTGCCAGTTTTTTTCAAAGTTTTGTAGAATATACTTTGTTCAAGAATTAAAA